CGAGTAACAAGGTCTCAAAGTTGGCGTCTAGGAAAAAAAAAGAATAACTAGAGCCGAGCTCGTTGCAAAGCAACGAGTAGGTCTTCCGTCCTGTTTGACCGGAAGTAAAGTTTATTTTTAACAAAAATGCCAAATAACGCCCAGAAATAGCTTGAATCATCTAAAGCTATGTTAAATAATGCAAAATTAAGCCATTTTTGCTACTTCCGGTCTGACCGGAAGTGACGACGACGGACGGAAAATTATTTTTTATGCTCCCAGAGACATTTGTTACCCAAAAACTTGTCAAAAACGGCAAAAATACTTATTTTCCGACTACTTCCGGTTTGGCCGGAAATGACGTCGCCGGACAAATTTTGACGACGCCAATAGATTAAGCTTGACCTTTTGAACAACTTTGCTTCTTTGACGTATTACAAATTCTATATAGATTTTGAGATATAAAGAAAAAAGTTTCGGCCCCTCTAGGCCCCTAATTTTAGGGGCCAGCCCTTTTTTCGATATATCATTTGAAAGATCTTGGAATTCTACACTTCTTTTGTTCTATATGTCTTAACAAAATATTTCTAGGTAAAAAGATATCTTCGAAGAAGTGTTAAAAATTGTGAAATTCGTGATACGTCTATTTTCGGGCCATAGCGAGCGCCGACGTGCGGCACTTCCGATAAAAATGAAATACGTTATACATATCTACAGACTTTGGTCTATCATACCTGAAAGTTTCATGTTTCTATCTTGAGCCATTATTGAGAAAGTCTGCGGACAACCTGACCCTTCAAAAATCATAAAATCGACAATATCTCCAAACCGGAAGTGACGTCATCCAATCGGAAAAAAATGCATAAGGTTCAAGTAATGTAACATAAGTCCTGAAAGTTTCATGGAAATCCATCAAGCCGTCTTTGAGAAATCGCGTGCACAAAATCGGTAAGAAAAAAAAGAATAACTAGAGCCGAGCTCGTTGCAAAGCAACGAGTAGGTCTTCCGTCCTGTTTGACCGGAAGTGCACCTGTAACTCTCATTAAAAAAAAAGAGTAATGAAGTTCAAAAATGGTTTAATCTTCCAAATCTTTATGAATTAATGCAATATTAAGCCATTTTTGGCTACTTCCGGTTTGACCGGAAGTGACGTCGACGGACTGAAAATTAAGATTTAAGCTTCCAGTGACATATGTTACCCAAAATCCTGTCAAGAACGGCAAAAATATGCAATTTTGGACTACTTCCGGTTTGACCGGAAGTGACGTCGCCGGACGTATTTCGACGACGCCATTCGATAAAGCTTGATATTTAGAACAACTTTGCTTCTTCGACGTATTACAAATTCTCAATACTTTTTGAGATATAAAGGAAAAATTTTCGGCCCCTTTTGGCCCTTTATTGTAGGGGCCAGCCTTTTTTCGTTGATATCTTTCAAAAGATCATGACATTCTTCACATCTTTTGTTCTATATGTCTTAACAAAATATTAACGTGTGAAAAGATATTGCAAAAAATGTGTTAAAAATTCTAAATTCCCAATAGGTCTCTTTTCGAGCCATAGCGAGCGCCGACGTGCGGCACTTCCGGAGAAAAAGTGTGGTGTGTGACAAAAGAGCACATATTGCTCTATCATCGCTGAAAATCTCATGTTTCTGTCTTAAGACATTTTCGAGAAAAATGATGGACAATGAGACCCCCTGAAAATCACTAAATCGCGGAAATCTCAAAACCGGAAGTGACGTCATCAAAACAAAAAATTATATATCAGGTTTGTTTGATGTTCTATCAGTCCTGAAAGTTTCATCAAAATCGAACGAGCCGTTTCCGAGAAATCGTGCACACAAAATCGGTAAGAAAAAAAAACAATAATAATAATAACTAGAGCAAAGCTCGTTGCAAAGCAACGAGTAGGTCTTCCGTCCGGTTTTGACGGAAGTGCCGGAAGTGACGGAACAAAAGAAAGCAATGAGCTAAGTAGTCTCCAGTGACTTTTTAATTTCAATTTTGCATCAAAACCTTCAAAATAAGCCATTTTTTGCTACTTCCGGTTTGACCGGAAGTGACGACGACGGACGGAAAAATAATTTTTTATGCTCCCAGAGACATATGTAACCCAAAAACTTGTAAAGAACGGCCAAAAAAAAACAACGCGTTTTCCGACTACTTACGGTTTGGCCGGAAGTGACGACGCCGGACGTATTTTGACGACTTCAATAGATTAAGCTTGACATTTTGAACAACTTTGCTTCTTAGACGTATAACAAATTCTTAATACTTTTTGAGATATAAAGAAAAAACTTTCGGCCCCTCTCGGCCCCTGATTTAACGGTCCAGCCCTTCTTTCGATGTATCATTTGAAAGGTCTTGGAATTCTATACCTTCTTTGTTCTACATGTTTTAACAAAATATTTCTAGGTAAAAAGTTATCGTAGAAAAGGTGTTAAAAATTTTGAAATTCTTGATAGGACTATTTTCGGGCCATAGCGAGCGTCGGCACTTCATACTTCCGGTGGTTGTGATATACGAAATTCACTTCTCCAAAGGTTGCTCTAGCATCACTGAAAATTTCATGCTTCTGTGTTGAGTGGTTTTTCAGAAAACTGCCGGACAAAGTGACCCTCTGAAAATCACTAAAACGCGGAAATCTCAAAACCGGAAGTGACGTCATCATAACAAAAAATATATATCTAGTTTTTTTCATGCTCTATCAGTCCTGAAAGTTTCATGTGAATCGAGCGAGCCGTTTTCGAGAACTCGCGTGCACAAAATCGGTAAGAAAAAAAACAATAATAATAATAATAATAACTAGAGCAAAGCTCGTTGCAAAGCAACGAGTAGGTCTTCCGTCCTGTTTGACCGGAAGTAGTTTTCCTTTTTAACGAATATGAGAAATAACGCCCCAAAATTGGTTGAATCCTCAAAATCTATGTTAATTAATGCAAAAATAAGCCATTTTTTGCTACTTCCGGTTTGACCGGAATAGACGACGACGGACGAAAAAATTATTTTTATGTTCTTAGTGACATAAAATACCCAAAAACTTGTCAAGAATGACAAAAATACGCGTTTTCTGACTACCTCCGGTTTGGCCGGAAGTAACGTCGTCGGACGTATTTTGACGACGCCCGTAGATTAAACTTGAAATTTTGAACAACTTTGCTTCTTTGATGTATTACAAATTCTCAATACTTTTTGAGATATAAAGGAAAAACTTATGGCCCCTCCAGTCCCTTAATTTTAGGGGCCAGCCCTTTTTTCGAGATATTATTTGATAGATCTTGGAATTCTACACTTCTTTTGTTCTATATGTTATCACAAAATATTTCAAAGTAAAAAGATATCATAGAAAAGGTTGTAAAAAAATTGAAATTTGCGATAGGACAATTTTCGGGCCATAGCGAGCGCCGACGCGCGGCACTTCCGATAAAAATGAAATTCATTTTGCACATCTATAGACTTAGGACTATCATACCTGAAATTTTCACGTTTCTATCTTAAGCCAGTTTTTAGAACGTTCGCGGACAACCTGACCCTTCAAAAATTATAAAATCGAAAATATTTCCGGACCGGAAGTGACGTCATCAAAACGGTAAAAAATGAATCAAGTTCAAGTAATGTTACATGAGTCCTGAAAGTTTCATGGAAATCCATCGAGCCGTTTTCGAGAAATCGCGTGCACAAAATCGGTAAGAAAAAAAAGAATAATAATAGGTAAGAAAAAAAGTGAAAAAGAAACCGAAGAATAACAAGAAGGTCTTCCGCTGAAGACGGAAGACCTTAATAGTGGAAAAGAAACCTAAGAATAACAGTAAGGTCTTCCGCTGAAGACGGAAGACCTTAATAATAAAAATAGTGGAAAAGAAACCTAAGAATAACAAGAAGGTCTTCCGCTGAAGACGGAAGACCTTAATAAAAGTGAAAAAGAAACCTAAGAATAACAAGAAGGTCTTCCGCTGAAGACGGAAGACCTTAATAGGAATAATCTTAACCATCAGAATCAGTAGAAGGTCTTCCGCCTGAGCGGAAGACCTTAAAAAGCGTTTTAATGACCCCATGATATCAATTCATCTAACGATCTGTATGTAATTAGTTTGAAACTTTGTCCAGTCCAATACGAAAAATCGTAATATTACTAACATTTGATGATGTCCCACAAACAAAATTTATTACAAAGAGAATGTATTCGTGTGACAAAGTGTTCAATACTCTTTGCTTTGATAGGAAGACATTAGCTGCAATAATGTAGCCCTCTCCGATTTTTCTCTGATGTTTTCTGGAGAGGGCTACAATTCCACAGCATCTCCGTAATGGTGCAAAATATTTTTCTTTAAATACGGGCGACTGCAGGCAGAATAAATTGTTATTTTCAATTTACTTCTAATAAGACGAAATTTTTATATAAATTAGATATAAATCAACAGAACGTATTATAGTTCCAAATTAGTTTATTCACAATTTTTGTTTTTATGACGCCACAATCTAGTCCGATTTTATATCATTTTTTAGAAAGAGGACAAAATGGACAAAATTTCACCAGTTTTAGCTTTAAAATTTATAGAGCGCAAGTTTGCTCAGGAACAATATTTAAATATTTTATTGATATTATCATACTACACATTATATCAAAATATTGAGCCTGATCAGACATGTACTCGGTGACTTTTACTCAAAATATCGACGTAATATATACATTCTTCTGTAGAAATCATGGAAATTTTAAATTTACGTCATTTTCGTGACGTCATTTCAAACATGTGATGGCATTACTTATGAAAATATTCAGTGCTTTGACATCAGCATGTATCCCCCTGTTTAAGAACATAATTAAATATTTCTCCGTCGAAGTTTGACTTGGGGGTGGGGGCAACTATTGGTTATTACCGAATAAAGTTCTTTTTATGTTAATTGTCGACCCCTTATCCTCATTATTTACAACTGATTCTAAAAGAATGAGACCATACATGTAAGTAAAGAATATTTAAATCGATAGCTGACTTTTCAATTTCATGTCATGTTTGGATGAACTTCGATCACAGTGTCCTTGTTAGCACAAAACATGCTACCAGTAAGTCACATGACGGAATTTAGTATTCACAAAAGTACATATGGGAAAATATCACTTAGTGAATTATAATATTCAATGTGTCATAGCCCTTGGTTATAACAGAGAGAGCGAGTGTAAAAAAAGAAGGAAGTTTTTTTTTTCTCTTTAAAACTATGAACGCATCTTTGTCTATGAATCTTCTTTTAAGACAACAGTAGTCATGCAAATATACAACTTCTGTTTAATTTAAGGAGAACAATCGACAAACATGCACTTACTATGTATAGATTCAGTAAAAAAAAATGTGGGCCTCCTCATTATCGTACGGAGATTGGAGAACTTCTGAACACCCCGCCTTAGAAAACTGATTCGTACAACGAAGATACATACTTTTATTTATTCTAATTAAGTAAAGTTGTATATTAGATGTTAATCACTCCTGCAATTAAAAGAAAAATGTCTGTTTTGAAGGTTTATTTTCACGCAAATTCCGTAGATCCTTAAGTGCAATTATCCATAAAAAACACATTTGTTAGTTATTTGCTGGGTTGATAATAACCATGGCTACTGTATATACCTTTTCTGTAGTCATCGCCGTCAATGTGGAACGGGTATGGACGATCAAATAATTGTCAAGACATGTGATTTTATGTTTTTCCAGCTACATTTTAGCCACAGGAGCAAAAATTTAAAATAATTTCATACGGTACAAATTGAATGAAATATATTTCTCAATGGTAAACATGTTCATCTAGAAAATTTAACAAATCATCCAATGTTGTGCTTTTTGATTTTATGCGAAAAATAAAATTTAGCCTTGAACAAATCCAACTCTATGAAGTATTGCTTTTTAACAAAGCTATCTGTGTAGGTTGAAAACAAAAACAAATACATGCATAATCAACCGTAATTGTACTTTATTTGTACCCCTGAAGAGAGTAAGCTGTTGATGGTATTTATCATTTTAGTGGTTTGTCATATGCACTATTTCTGTAAGACATACTTATAAGGAGCCTATTTTCGTCCAAAGGGTAAAAAAAGTATCTTTTATATGCATATCAACAATTACACTTTGGGCCGAGATGTTTATTTTTACTATTCTTTTTGTGACCTGTTTGGTCGCCAGCAATTTTCTGCAAAAAGTCAAAGGTAGGCTTTGTTTTCAAGGACTAATTCACATGTGTATTTACACATTTTTTCATCACATAGATTATGCAAAGACAACTAATTATAAAATTTTTATATATTATATTTTGTATTTAAATAATCGATGGAATTTTTTTAATGATTTCCATATTCACTAATTTATTTTCAGTTTATTTTTCATTCGCTTTATGCCTAATATTTGATTTGGTCTTTATAGTAATGTAATGATCGAATAAAGCACTGATTTTAGTCCTTTAGTACCTCATTGTAATATACTGTGTTGATCCTTTGATTGCTCTGTTTCAGCTTCTTCAGACTCCTTAAGCCTTTCCTTTTTATGTATTACGTTGTTCCTTTAACTCCTCTGTTCCAGCCTCGTGCGATCCTAATCCCTGTCGGAACGGAGGCACGTGTAAATTGCTGGGAGGATCTCTTAGTTGTGAATGTCCACTTCAAGGCGGATATTGTAAAAGTAAGTTCACTCAATAACAAAACTCGTTTCCGTCCTTTCATAGATTACATTTTTTTTCTTGTCTTTAGAAATCCATGTATAAGATTATTTAATTCTAGCCAAATATCTTCCTTTCTTTCTTTTCTTGTAATATTTTTTTTACTAGAAATCAAATTGTGATAATTAATATTATATTGTTTCATTTTATTAAGGTAATCTTACCTGTAATTTCGAATATTTGGATATGAGAAATACATAAAAAAATATATTAATTTACAATTTTTTAAGTCAATGGTATGATATTTGGAAAATGTTTTAAAAGACAAGAAATTTAAAATAAACGAAAAACGACATTTGTACCTATGCTCTTTTTTGATGAATGATTTATGGTTTTGGTACATAAAGATTCGAACCAATGCTGTAGGTGGCAAGCCTCTGTGGCGTGTAGATGTCCACCTCAATGGACAGGTCCTTACTGTGGCCAGCTTCTTCTACCACCCTGCCGTTTCAATCCCTGTCAAAATGGAGGGACGTGTTACTTTTTTGAGAGTACCGAAAAATGTTCGTGCCCCTTCCCATTCAATGGAAATCATTGTGAACATTATTGTAAGTTTTTTAATGATTAGTTCATACTTGCTATGTTCTATTTATTGTCCTGTTTTAACGAGACTCTTGTTTCGTTCTAGTTTACTAACTTCGAGTAAAATCTCTTACGGTTTTAAACAATAGGAAGAATATTTTATGTTGCCAAGAGAATGGTAAGAAAAAGGTAAAGCCGTTAGGTTTTAGCCGTCCGTTGTTACAGATGTTTGTCTAAATGATATTTAAAAGAAATCCTATTTCTTAAGAAGCCTAAGTTTTTTGACAATGTTTAAATGTGAACCCCTTGGTCTTTATTGACGATTTATTTCTTCTATGATGGACTCTTCCAAGGGATGTAATACCTTTAAAACAATTGTTATTATCAAGGCAATACTAAAGAGCAAATCTTGGTATGCAAACATATGACTTTCCAACTCATTGATTTTGCTTTTCGTTGAACAGAGTCAAGACGTAGAGAAACGTATTGTTACTTTCCCTCAATAACTTCTTAGTATCTGTTAAAGGTTTAGGAGTTTCATTAATGTTATTTAAAGTCAGACAGGGCTAGCTTTTCTAAGAAAAATTTCGGCATAATATACACTGGATACTATAAAACAGAAGAATGTGTTTTCATTGAATTTGGACGACTAAATTGAGGGATATAAATGTCAAAATCCTTTATTTTTCTAGTATATATTACATCGAGAGGTTTTCTCTATCCACTGGTGTTCGAACTCACAAAATGTGATTGCTTATGTTCATGTTTAAAGGACAGAAACCTTAATGCGTCATTGTAAGTCATAGGCTAAAAAACACAACAGGTTGAGAGTTCCGTTTAATTAAGTTAATAATTCTTAAAATAGTTTGGTCATTTTCTTTGCAGATGATGATTGGAGCTTTAAAAAGAAAACTTAAGTACCGTGGACGGAAATAAGGAACAATGCATATATTAATATTCAGAAGTTGAATTGATCTGGAAGGTTATTCTTTGATGGATTTGTCTAATAAAAACATTTTACTCGCTTTCTCATTTCTATTTCTTTGGGATTTACAATGCCCTACAATTATTGCTATCGTAATAAAAATGATTAAAGAAGGAAAGAAAAATAAAAAAAAAATAAATACGATGTGTTGATAAGTTTCTGTCGATAATTTCATTATCTTCGATGTGATTTCATTCTGAAACTCAAAGAGAAGGACCTCTGATGACCTTTTTGGCTTCTTGAATTTCTAAAAAATAATTACTGCAAAATTCTAGCCAACAGGTCGATGAAAATCACTTAAACCCTTCAAGTTGATGACTGAATATCTATATGATGCAATGCCTTTTTGTGCTACTCAATAAATTATGACATCATGAATTCTGTTATAATTCATAATGACCAAAATATCTCTTCAAAAATGACCGAAAGATGTATAAGATTTGTATAAGGGGCCACCTTTAATCCAATATGACAAATAAATGAAGAACTCAAAACAACTGCTAAAACAGATAATGAAAATATTTTATCATTTGGATCGGCGGGTGTACTCATATTATAACTTTTCGCTAAAGGTTTCCAATACACTTCTTTTCTACAAAATTAAAAAAAAAGCAATACAATTTCATAAAACCCGTTTTATATACCTATTTTCTTTAAGAAAACTTTGTTATGGGAATCGAACTGAATGCTTCGGATCTATACTTTGATTGACGAGGGCTGTTCAATAAATAATGTCCTAAAATCTATGGCATACAATATAGATGTCACATGACATTATGTTTGACTTTCTCTTATAATTGAATCCTTAATGAATTTATAATAGTTAATGTGACCACTTTTCATCACATATCTCCGTTCTGAGAAGCTGTAAAAAAAGGGCTATTCGAGACACATTAAAAATGAATGGTAAAGAATTAGTAAGCAAGAGTGAAATTAAACACTTCATTAAAGCTGCTGTAAGATTTGTTAAGAACCCTTAAGAAATATTCACTGAAATATGTGAAATTTACAGCAACCAATGTCTGTTTTATAGACACATGAGCAGGTGGATTTCAATGAACAAAAATGATATAATGGGCATCAAAAATGGGTACCGTCCTTGGCGACAAGGAATTATAACAAGAATATGGAGATAACAGTATTCAATATCAAAGTCCATAAAACAATACAAAATAGGAGCAGAGTAAAGACGGAGCTCCGAAACATCAGAGGTGGGATCAGGTGCCATGGAAGGGTGAGCATTCCTTGCTGAACGGTCACAACCGCCGTGTGCTTATTGTCATGATCGGGAAATACCCGAAAAATCCGTCGTTAATGCAGTGTATAAATAATCAACAATTAGTTTAAAAAACGTCAGTCAGCATTTAATTGAATGATAAATTGTATTTGCTGACGAGGTCATTGTATCGACAACAGAACTTACAAAATGAAGACTTTAAACGAGACTGCTGATATTTTTGTTCATCAACCTGCTTGTCAATAATTTACCTCATTTTAGAAATTGTTCATATATAGAGCATGCTCTTGCGTATCGAATCAACTGAGATATGTATACTCAGTATGCAGGTGATGAAGGTATATTGCTACATAAGTAAGGAATTGTTTTGTATTGTAATTGTATTGTTTTACGGACTTTGATTTTGAATACTGTTCGTTATCTCCATATCCTTATATTTGCATATCCACGCAGCATAGTTAAGGTTACAAAAAGGAGGCGGAGCCTAATTTGTACGGGAAAACTTGACTATGACATCATACACAATATACGTCATACAACATTTCTTTAAAATACCACAAAATGAGTTGATCTGCTAATTTAACCAGTAAGAAATGAACAAACTACATAAAAACTTACTACAGCGTGCTGTTTTGTCGTTAGTTAAACCCAACATTACAAGTTATAAACAAGTCACTGATCGCAATACACATGTCAATATGACGTCATTTCTTATAACGTGACATAGTTTGTATGCAGTGAGAGACAGATCAAGTAATATTTTCTCAACAAAATTTGTATTCTGTAATTAAATAAAATATTATTTGCAGATTTTCTATGGGCCAATAACTTGAATTTAATGTCTTCTTCAATATTTTATTAATATATTTTCTGTACATTACGTATTAAATTGACACTGCCGTATATTTGTATGCAAGTACAACGGAGGGTAATGTGGGGGGTCCTAATAAATCGATCTAGTGCAAGGGCATACACTCTAAAGATAGAAGCTTTTTCATTTCAACTCTAGAACTATTAAGATATCTGAAAAGTGCTGCGATCCTGATGAAATCCTAAAAGCAATTTAATTATATCATTATTTCATGCCGCTGACCAGCAAAAAATATAGCATTTGGTCATACAAGTATAATTTCAACAATGAAATTGCAGAATTAAGACAGGATCGCAGCACTTTTTAGAAATTACAATGTGTGTTAAAAATATCTATATACTAAGCTTTTAAATTTAACTTGGTTATGCCCTTGCGCTAGTGATATTTATATGTAACATCAATACTGCGAGTCAATGTGCTAAAATCGCGTGACTGCCGCATCACTTGACTAGTCTAAATATAAAATATAATCGTCCTCGATATGTAGTTATTAATCATAATTACAGTTATCCGATATAAATTATGTACTAAAAATAATCGCCATCCCGATTACGAATACATTTTTAAATACAAAATTTAGTCAATATTTCCATTGCGCACCTTAACTGTACTGCGCACTGCTCACTCCCACTATAAACATGTAGTCATCAACTGCATTCATAGCACTATAGACGGAACTGCTTCTGCTATGAATGCAATTTCTCTTTCACACTCCTGTAGTGTAAGCTCTACTACACTTACACAGTCTGTTGAGAAGTATATGTATGAAATGTTTCGTAAAAGAAATAAATATAAGTTTCTAATAATATTTTTTGGGAAAAAAGAAATTCAGAACAATTTAAAATTGCTGATTTATATATTTAAAAATTAATTTTCCTCAATGTATTTATTATATAAAAAAAACTTTTTAAAAATTGAAGAGAACTGCCACATTTTTATTTTTTCTAATTATACTCTCGCATATTTGTACAAAGAATGATAACTCTTCACACTTGGGCAATAAAACATTCATAAAAAGCAAAATTTAAGAACGATTTCAACTCTTAAAAACAAATAGAAAAGATTAAAAAATCATATAGAAAAGCATTCTGGAGTTATAATGATTATTAAAGCATTCTCTTTTTTATCATAAGGTTAAATTACAGTATTGATTTTTGTCAGAGGGTTTCAATAACGTCGTCGATCGATGACGTCACATCTGTATCAAAACAAAAATTAAGAGAATGTGACGACGGCGCAGCTTGTATCTGATAACTGTTTTTTAAAAGAGGCTAATACCTTACAAATTGTTTATGATTTACTAGAGAAAAGGTGCAATGATCTGGTATACTTATTTTAAAGCAGTGTGTTTTTCTTTACTGAAGACAACAATCCACATTCTTATGTAAGCCAGGATTTCCTCTGATATTCTTGACACCATCAAAAAATGCAAATATAAGTAATAAACAACGATTATTTAGTGATCATGGCATTATGAATAGCAATAGCTCTGCTGGCATATTTTCCATGATGGGCTAGCGCGCAAGAAATCTTTTAAGTAGCTCTCTGACAACCGAGAAAAGTTTTCGGTTGAAAAGTTGAAAACAAACTGCACAGCAACATCTTGTTGCCTTTTTATTCACTTATGCAATTCAATTACTAGACCCAATATAACTTTCGTCAGCCATACCATGATTGCAAGAAATTTATACTGACTGCAAATATGCAAAAACGATGTCTATAACTCTAATGCATCGTTTGGCACTAGAAAATGTGATCACAAAATTGTCATCATCAACATGCACGTGCTTTTGGCTTTTTATCAATTACACTACGCGACGCAATACATTTCTTGGTTGAATAGTTTTGACCAGCAATTTTAGGCAAAACAACCAAAATACACATCTGACCAAATTTAATAATTTTCGGCCACATAATCATTTTTTTTTTTGGCATATTATGTTCTTATGTGTTTCTTTTTCCTTTCGGTATGTATGCATTGAATTGACCTTTTGCTCCGTTGTAGCTTTATGCGAGAGGTGAAATCTATTATACAGTATATGTACATTGTGTATAAAATTTGTCAAATGCAAAAAGCAAAAGCAAACATGCTTAATAAAATAAATTAATTGATGTTAGCTTTCTTACACAAGAGAGATTACGCGTACAGAAATGCGGCCTACATTAGTACCAGGATCCTTGTCAGCACACGTGTATTGTGTTTAACTGCATAAATATCTTTTCTAGCAGATAAACAATCCAGGTATTCGAGGTTCCAGCCTTGATAACAACTTGCTTAAACCAATGATGTATTGCATTGAGGACAAAGATGTCTTTAATTGATCCCAGATCTGATCCTTACTTCAAATAAAATTCAAAAGAAAAGCAATATGTGTTTGTGAAACACTGTTGTCCCCGTATGACAGCATAGCAAAAGTTAAATTTTCTCAAATGCAAAAAAAAAAGTTTTTAAAAGTAGCCAGGTTAAATGCAAAGGTCAATGGGTCAAAGGTGTTAGTATTCAATGAGAGGTCTTGTCATAAGGATTACATATGTGAAGTATAAAAGCCTTAGCCCTTAAGGATTAACATAGGATACATAATTTTGTAAATAAAATTAAAGTAAGTTACTTCATCTGAGAGATCGGGTTACTGTCAGTTAATTTTAAAAGATACAATTTAAATGACAAACATATCCAATTTAAGTTTTTCAACTGTTAACATGTTCAATTTGAAAGTTAACGAATCATCCAATTCTGTGCTTTTTTTTTTAAATTATTATATGTTTACTGATAAATTAAGACCTGAACTAATCTGAGTCTGAGAAGAAATGTTTGTAAACAAATTTCTTAGTGTAGGTAGACAATAAAAAATAAATTCGTGCATAATCAACCGTAATTATACTTTGTTTGTACCCTGAAGAGAGTAAGCTGTCGATGATATTTATCATTTAAGTAATTTATCATGTGCACATTTTTTTAAAGACATTCTTATAAGGAGCCTATTTTCATGCAAAGGGTCAGAAACGTATCTTTTATATGCATATCAACAACTAGGCTTTGGGCTGCGATGTTTATTTCTACTGATCTTTTCGTGACCTGTTTGGTCTCCAGTAGTTTTCCACAACAAGTCAAAGGTAGGCCTTGTTTTCAAGACTAATTTACTTATTTACAGTTTTTTTATCGCTTAGATTAAAAAATGACAAATAATTATAATTTACATACATTAGATTTTGTCTTTATAGTATAAAGTAAATTGCAATTTATTTTCGTTTTAATTTTCATTCGCTTAATGCTAAATATTTAATCTAGTCCTTAAAATGATTTGATGATCAAATATAGCACTGATTTTAGACATCTACTTTTTCAGGAATCTCATAAATAATTTCTTTTGTAGTCCTATGACAACCATATCGGTCTTTTCTTTATGTATATTATATTGACCCAAATTTGCTCCGTTTAAGCCTTGTTGGGGTCCTTTAGACAACTTCCTTGTAATGTATTGAGTCGATCCTTTAACTTCTGTTTCAGCCTCGTGCGAACCTAATCCTTGTAGGAATGGAGGGACATGTAAATTACTGGGAGGATCTCTTAGTTGTGAAAGTTAGTTCTCTCAATTACAAAACTATTGTCTTCGTCTCATAGACAATATTTTACTTTGAAACTTTAGAAACACTTAACAAATTTTTTAACTCTATCAAACAATCCCCCTGTCTTTATTTTATTGTTCTTAACTTGTCTCAATGTATTTTAAAGTCTTCAGTGTTATTTCAGTAATCTTACTTAATATTTTTATATCAGAAATATATAATTTCCAAGCTTTAAGTCAATGGTATTGTATGTTGAAGGTATTCTAGAAAAGCGGAAATAAAAAAAATACATTTATTCCTATGATCTTTCATGAATGATTTATCGTTCTGACACCTAAAGACTCGGACCAATGCTGTAAGTGGCAAGCCTCTGTGGAGTGTGGATGTCCTCCTCAATGGACAGGTCATTACTGTGATCAGCTATTTCTACCACCCTGCCGCTTCAATCCCTGTCAAAATGCAGGAAATTGTTACCTTTCCAAATTTAAGGTTCTGAAAAATGTTCGTGCCCTTTCCCATTTCATGGCAATCATTGTGAACATCATTGTAAGTATTTTTTTTTAATGTTTGGTTCATACTTATTATGTTCTATTGGCTCCTTTTTAACGTGATTCTCATTTCGTTACCTCTAGTTTAGGAATCGTTTTCATTCCTAAAGTCGAGTAAAATTTCTTATGTTTTTTAACAAAAAGAAAAGCATTTTGTGTAGCCAAGCGAATGGTAAAAAAATTAAAGCCATTAGGTTTTGGTCGTCAGTTGTTACAGAATATGTTGGTTTCATATTTGAAAGAAATTCTATTTTCTAAGAAGCCTTAATGTTGTTAAAATGTTTAAATTGATCCCTTGGTGTTTATTGACGATTTATTTCTTCATTGATGGACTGTTCCAAGGAACGAAATACCTTTAAACCTATTGTTATTATCAAGATAATTCTAAAGAGAGAAATTCTGTTTGCAAAGATGAGACTTTCCAACTCATTGTTTTTGCTTTTCGTTGAAAAGAGTCAAGACGTAGAGGAAGATATTGTAAGTTACTCTCCCTAAATAATTTAGTTATAGTTATAGTTTCTGTTGAAAGTTTAAGAGTTTCATAAACATTGTTCAAAGACAGGCAGGGTTAGCTTTTGTAATTTTTATCTAAATTCTTTCCACCGGGTACTATAATACAGATGAATGTCTTTCCATCGAACTTGGACAACTAAATTGAGTAATATAAATGTCGAAATACCGTTTTGTCTAGCAGTATAATAAGTTGATAGGTTTTCTAGGTTCAATCGTGCTTCGAACTAACAAAATGTGGTTGATTATTATTATTATTTTTTTTTTTTTTTTGCTTAAAGAACAGAAACCTTAATTCGTCATTATAGGTCAGAGGCTAAAAACACAACAAAATGAGAGTTCCGTTTATTTTTTACCTCAAGTTTACTCCTTAGGTTAATAATTATTAAAATTGTTTGATTATTTTCTTTGCAGATGATGATTGGAGCCTTAAAAAGAAAACATAAGTTCCGTGGACTGAAAGGGCCAATGCATATATTAATATTCGGAAGTTGAATTGAGCTGGAAGGTTATCCTTTGATGGATTTGTCTAACAAAAATATTTTACTTGCTTTCTCATTTCTGTTTCATAGACTGTTTCACGGTAACTGCGGTACTGCTCTTTTGCAGAGCAAAATGACATAGTTTGGTGAAATATGACGTAAAAGTAATTGTTTAAAATACGTCATTTAATTAATTATCAACAAAAACTCCGCCAAACATTATTATTTTGCCCTGCAAAAGTGTAGTACCGCAGTTATCGTGAAGGGACTAATTGGGATTTACAAAGACCTAAGATTATTGCTATCGTGATAAAAATGATTAAAAAAGGAAAGAAAAATAAAAAAAACAAAACAATGAGTACGATGTGTTGATAAGTTTATGTCGATAACAATTAAATTATCTTCGATGTGATTTCATTCTGAAACTCAAAAAGAGGGATCTCTGATGACCCTTTTTGGCTTCGTGAATTTTGAAAAATAATTACTGCAAAATTTTAGCCAACAGGTCGATGAAAATCACTTAAACCCTTCAAGTTGATGACTGAATATCTATATGATGACAATGCCTTTTTGTGCTACTCAATAAATTATGACATCATGAATTCCGTTATAATTCATAATGACCAAAATATCTCTTCAAAAATGACCGAAAATGATAATTTGTATAAGGGGCCACCTCTAATCCAATATGACAAATAAACGAGGAACTCAAAACAACTGCTTAAACAGATAATGAAAATATCTTATTAATTGGATCGGGGGGGGGGGGGGGGGACTCATATTATAACTTTTCGCTAAAGGTTTCCAATACACTTCTTTTCTACAAAATTAAAAAAAAAAAAACAATACAATTTCATAAAACCCGTTTTATATACCTGTTTTCTTTAAGAAAACTTTGTTATAGGAATCGAACCGAATGCTTCAGATCTATACTTTGATTTGCGAGGGCTGTTCAATAAATGATGTATTAAAATCTATGGCATACAATATAGATGTCATAAGACATTAAGTTTGACTTTCTCTGATTATTAAATCCTTAATGAATTCATAATGGTTAGTGTGACCACTTTTCATCACATATCTCCGTTCTGAGGAGCTGTAAATGAAGGGCTATTCGAGACACAATAACAATGAATGGTAAAGAATTAGTAAACTAGAGTGAAATTAAACACTTCATTAAAGCTGCTGTAAGATTTGTTAAGAACCCTTAAGAAATATTCTCTGAAATATGTGAAATTTACAGCAACCAATATCTGTTTTATAGACACATGAGCAGGTGTATTTCAATGAACCAAAATGATATAATGGGCATCAAAAATAGATACCGTCCTTGGCGACAAGGAATTATACCACGAAGAATACGGAGATAACGAACAGTATTCAATATCAAAGTCCATAAAGCAATACAAAATAGGAGCAGAGCAAACACGGACCTCCGAAACATCGGAGGTGGGATCAAGTGCCATGGAGGAGTGAGCATCCCCTGCTGACCAGTCAAACCCGCCGTGTGCTTATTGTCATGATCGGGAAATACCGGAAAAATCCGTCTTTAATTCAGTGTATAGATAATGGACTAACAACTAGTATGAAAAACGTCAGTCAGCATTTGATTCAATGATAAATTGTATTTGCTGACGAGGTCATTGTATCGACAATATAACTTACAAAATGATGACTTTAAACGATACTGCTATATACTGGTTTCATCAACTTGCTTGTCAATAATTTACCTCGTTTTAGAAATTGTTCATACATAGAGCATGCTCTTGGGTATCGAATCAACTGAGGTATATTTACTCCGTATGAAGGTGATGAAGGTATATTGCTACATAAGTAAGGAATTGTTTTGTATTGTAATTGTTTTGTTTTATGGACTTTGATTTTGAATACTGTTCGTTATCTCCAGATCCTTCTTTCGACAAACACTGGCTACATTTTCCAAGTGTGAACATGCTGAAACATTACGACGCATAGTTGCGCGTGTTAGAGAAAACTCGACGTATAGTTGCCAAGCTCGCGCACCAAGTTAGAGCGTAGAGTTTCTGTCAGTAATGAACTTTTACGAGGAGCGCTGACTTTTGCAGATGGCACCTTACTTTTACACTAGGACAATGTACGGAAGCTCTTTTACGATAAAAATATTTAGAGGAGTTATTTCATATCGCTTGCCCTTGAAGTAAACGACAACCAACCCACCCTCAACTCTTTACATGCAATTGCCCCTAACACCATACCTGAGATCAATAGAAAGATTTACTTTCGTATTATCAATTCTGTACCTCCATACATGATTCAAGTTTAAATATCCACGTAAACCGTCCACTGAAGAAGTCGATGCTTCTCGTGAAAGTCCATTAGGCTGTGTATGATTGTCTGGTGTATAAATATCGGTTTCAGTGATAATGCCTTGACAATAACCGAGGTAGCAAGATGAAAAGCCCTATGTTTATGTCACGTTATGACGAGCCAACGTCACCGTCATGGTTGGTTGGAAACCTTTTAAGTAACTCTCTGACAACCGAGTAAAAACAAACTGCACAGCAACATCTTGTTGCCTTTTTATTCACTTATGCAATTCAATTACTAGACACAATGTACATTTTAACTTCCGCGCCGTTACCATACCATGATTGCAAGAAATTTATACTGAATGCAAATATGCAGAAACGATGTCTATAACTCTAATGCATAGTTTGGCACTACAAAATGTGATCACAAAATTGTCATCATCAACATGCACGTGCTTTGGCTTTTTATCACTTACCCTACGTGACGCCGTACATTTCATGGTTGAATAGTTTTGACCAGCAATTTTAGGCAAAACAACCAAAATACACATCTGACCAAATTTAATAATTTTCGGCTACATAATCATTTTTTTTTTGGCATATTATGTTCTTATGCGTTTCTTTTTCCTTTCAGTATATATGCATTGAATTGACCTTTTGCTCCGTTGTAGCCTTATACGAGAGGTGAAATCTTTTATCTATGTATAGTAGAATATTAAATTAATATATGAATCTATGGTGTTCATCGTTTAAATGAGAAATGTATGACAATCCACAACAAAAGAAAGTTCATTATGCAAAGCATGAAGTATATTCAATTTAGTTATTTTCACAACAAGCAATGAAAAACAAAATGTTTGTTGAATATAATGAATTAACCCCCTCCCCTGATTTCTACTAAATTCTCTGTTTTGGAATGCATGATCATATAATTATTAAGAATAAAAATTTGATAAATGCCTGGCTACAAGATTTTGATTGTGCTAAGTACAGAAGAATCGAACATTAAAAGAACACCATTAAAAGCACAAAAATCAAACATAATATGTCTTATTAGGTAATACAGTATAGGTACTCTTCTGTGCCCGAAAGAGTAAAAATCCGTTGAAGACAATCTATCATCTGCGATCATATACATATATCAAGTGCACGTTCCTTTCAACGCTACTAAAAGTATTTCAATTCAGATAAAAGTGCATCATAAAGCGTCTCGCTGATGTACAGATTCACATTTACGCTTGCAACAAAAATGTTGGCTTATACAATCCTTTTCGACTGATTTGGTGATTATCTTTTATTTTTATTTTATTTTATCTTTGGTACGGTTGAAATATTTATGCACAAATTATTATTTTTTATATTGTAGATTGTTCAAAGCACGATAATACATGTACTCATAATATATGTGTGTGTACTTTTTGGTGCATGTTATTTTTCATTATAATTATCTAATTTTCTATAATAAAAATAATTCAACAATTCATTATTAAAAAAATAAGGAAATTGATGTTAATTAACGAAAGATATGAAATCACAAGAAGGTGGAAACAGCAATTATCAATTCTAATGATTTGCTTATCTTGATTTAATTTCTATAACAAACCCAAAATTGTCAATACAGACTTCAATTATTATTGCTGCGAGATAAATTCATGTACAAGAAAATTAAGTTGTTGAACCTAGATTAATAATTTTTCGGTAATGCCACCACCTCAAGATCTGAGAACATCTAAAGGATTATCAGAGATAATGCTCATCCCAAATGTTCTCGTAAAGGCTATTCAAGGAAAATGGGTCGATTAATAATAATTGGAGGATGATTGCTTAAAGTGAATAGAACATTTTCGTTTCTTTTTTGTATTATCCTGTGAGTCTCTAGTCTCTAACATTAGTTCAGTAGATGTAATTGTCGAATGACCTAATGGGTTGCATCGTTTACATGAATTTATCTCGCAGCAATAATAATTGAAGTTTGTATTGACAGTTTTGGGTTTGTTATAGAAATTAAATCAAGATAAGCAAATCATTAGAATTGATAATTGCTGTTTCCACCTTCTTGTGATTTCATATCTTCCGTTAATTAACATCAATTTCCTTATTTTTTTGATAATGAATTGTTGAATTATTTTTATTATAAAAAATTAGATAATTATAATGAAAAATAACATGTACCAAAAAGTACACACACATATATTATGAGTACATGTATTATCGTGCTTTGAACAATCTACATGTAATGGTTTTTCCATTGAACATTAATTTTTCTGCACAATATGACGGTGTTTTTATAGTTATTTGATAAATATTTACTAGCATAAAAAATCGGGGTAGCTACCCCAATTCCTAATTCTAACCTGATTAAATTTTATACTTGACCATTTTTTTTTTGTGCTTAATAACACAAATAAGATAATTAATTGTTGCATTTACTAGCTTTATATATAGTAGGAATATAAATATTTACGTAGGAAGCACAAAAATACACACACAAAACAGGGCTAATTATTTTCTTCGTCATAACAATTGTCAAATAAAGACATTCTTCTTCTTTAGGTCGACACTTTTGTGTACGGAACAATGTAAGGAATCATTTTGTGTACATAACAATACCAATGCTGAAGTAGCCTATATGTTATTCCTATTATGGATATTTCATAAATCTGCACTTATATATCAGTGTATATAGAATTCACTTTTTATTTTAATTAAGAATTTTACTTATATGTAAATAAACGGTGTTATTCCGTAACCATATGGGAAATTAGTTACAAATTAGTGCTAAAATCTAAAACATCTGGATTCTACTGACAGCAAAGAAACATTTGGGAAACGCAAAAAAACTTTTTTGCCATATTTAGTCATGTGTTATTTATCGCGTATACGTGTACCTATGAAATTCCATATGCATTATTGTTCTATATTGGTTAGAGCAAATCTAGGGCACATTTATGCATTTCATTTTGAATTTAATGTTCTTTTGGGTTACTTTTAATTTTTATTCGTTGTGACGGTTGTAATATATATCTAATATCACACAATACCGATGTATATTTACGCTGTTATACTTCATTGGCATTTGTAATAATTGCTCTTATCAATAGATATCATTTTTGGCAAAAAAAAAAAAAAAAAAAAAACAGAGAAGACAGTAGATTGTGAAAGAAAAATGAAGATAGAGTATCTGAATTTAAAATAGACGGTGGTATAATTTAAAAGTGTGTTAATTTTGTCTCAATATTATCCCACTTTGAAACATTTGAAGTTGCGTTAATTTTGTCCCAATTTTAATGCATCTCGGGGTCCATTTGAGCAAAATCTTATTTGCATAGTAAAGGAGACATGCTTATAAATGAGACTAAATTTGTGTTTCGATTTTTTTTAAAGATTTTTTAGAAAAATCATTATCGTTCATTGGGGACCAATATTTGTGCATTTCGTGAATCATCCTTGTCACTGAACTACATCCCCACAAATGTTTTGATCTTTAGATACATTATTCATTGAATTTAAGAAAGATTTATTCATTGATTCTTCAAAATACATACGCTTTATCCACGAAAAAAATTCCTCTAGATAAACAAAATCTTGCTTACACAAGAACATAGACCTACAATGAATTAAATTGCTTTGACAGTATTATATTTCCATGTTAAATTGGGAGTCAGTTATTTGAGAAAAAACAGTGGTTTTTGAACAATCTGTGCTGGCATACTTAAATGAATACGACTTGTGTATTGTAAGCATTTCAAAGGTATTTCCCTTAATATCCAACTCCTAAGCTATGGTCTCATATTGTTACGTTGTATTTATATGGCCCAGTGGCTAAACCGTTTGTATAAGATAAGCAGAGGAAGGAGTTGATCTTTTCATCACACGTTAGAAATCCCCTGCGGGACGTGGAAAACAGTGCTTCGAATGAGGCCGTTTTTTAAAAGAATTCTCGTGTCATATTGATGAGAGGAAAAAGCTAAAACTGTTCAATTTCCTAAATTTATGTCTAGTACAGTTCTTTTGCAGTGCTCAGCCGTCAAGTGGTGGCGTCTCACATGAGTGAAACATCGTCGAAAGGACGTCACCGTTCACGGTATAGCGCTCGCGCCGTGATCGGAAGGTCGTAAGTTAAAATTTCGGCTTCTTCTGACCTAAGTCAATAAATAAAATGGTAGTAACTGTTCCTGCGTCTTGATCTTAGAATTACGTGTCAGGTAAGTTACTTGTAAAAATCAAAAAGTCATATCTACCACCCAATAAAATAGATAATTTTTACAGAAAATTACTAAGATGCAGTCCATTGTAGGTCTTACATTATATTTTACCGTAAAAATAGTTGACTTATGAAAACACCATTTTATTTTCTCTGTTTTTACATATTACAGTGAACTTTTTTGTATCTCTGTTTGTACAATTAAATACAGAATTCATGCTTCCATTTTATTTGTCAGTTTACACAACAAAGCTCATGGATAACTATAGTCTTCTACAGCATTGTCTAGAGTATCCTCCTCCACACAAGTTTGCGCCATCATAACCACCACGGCAGCCGTATTTTGTGTCTTGACAAATTCCGTAATGGTATTTATTCCAGCAGAGTCTGTCGGCTCCTAAAGAAATGAAAGTTAAAATGCAAAATACATTATCTAAAGGTTAAACCATTATCATTTTTAAAAAACCGAAATTAATTTTCCTTATTAACTAAATTGGATTAATGACTTTATGACTTTGCTATAGAAAGACTATGTAGATTGCACTATATTCGCCAGGTTTGGGGTAGTGCTAATTTAATGGTGATGCATTGCAATGCAGTACTTGAACTCGATTGATTGTATGTTGTTTAATGTCACTCTCGAGAATTTTTCACTCATATGGAGACGCTACCACATTACTTTCTAAAATCCTGAGTAATGCTTGCATAAGATACCATTACATTTAGCAAAATAAAAAATACCAGTTAATTGAAATGGATATGAAAAAATTGCTAAGATTTATCGTTTTTATAAATAAAAGAACTGAATAAAATAGTTTTAAAAATAAGTTTTGGTTTAGTTTAATATGTAAACATTTTTATCTTAATGAGAATTGGAAAGTTCCTATGCATAATACAAGGCATATGAATTATTTACAGTGTAGTCAAAACAAGTACATATACTTGAAACCAAGTTTCAATAATCAATCGTCAGGTTTAGTTAGAAGGTGTCGAATGCATGATTATGAAAATAGTTGTATTTTTATTTTTGACCCCCCCCCCCTCCAAAGTATTGGTTATGGTAGTGCGCTACTTTGCTAAAGTAATTGTCATGTTATACATAACTTTAAGAAATTAGAATTTCTGTAATTTTAAATCAGTGCCCAAATTTTTAAAGTAATTGGAATGTTATGCAAAACTTTATGCTGTAATTCGCCCGAAGCCTGATAAAATCTAAATATTTACACAATGAATTGTGTACGGTTTTTTTAATGTTTTCCTGGTCATTGCAAACAGTAAACGACTGGTGAAACAGGTTGACAGGGGATGTTTTGTCCTCTATGGCACCGGATCCAACCTCTGTTGTTTTAGCGGTTTGTGTTTGCTTTACTCATGACTATTTTTTTTAAAGATCAAGATCTAGTAAATGATTTTAGAATAACTTTTCAGTGCTAAATCAATTATGACGTCATAATCGCTTTCAACTTTCTCTTTCCCGTACTTTACGGCTCTAATAGAATTATGTAGAAAATAAAGTATTTCCATGGAATTCAATTTGAAATCATATGAAAAGTAGTCCCGATACCTATCCTAAATTTGACATTATTCTAAAGTAGAGACTAAGAACATATAAATAACCGTTTTCTGAAAAACTGTAGGCAATCTGGATACATTTTCTTTGCCTGATATGGAAAAAACTCCCATTTTCAATATTGGTTTTCTTAATTTTTCATTGAAAATGACAGTTTAAAATATGGTTTTTCATCTTGTTTTTCTACAAATTATTCCCCGAAACATCTATTTTGACCAAGCTAATATTATAAAGCATCATTAAAGGAATTAATTTCTTAAATTTGAAAAATCTGTAGGCACCTTCCATTTACTAGATCTTGACCTTAACATAGGTTGTGGTGAATGAAAAAAAGAGTCGCAGTTTATCAAAAGTTGACAAAACTTACAACAGTTAAGCAAAACTGTATAACAAAAATTCTTACCACTGACACAACATTGTCTGTTGTTGGGCCCGCCACACAAGGGGGCGCTGTTGTACCTGTCACATCTTTCACTGGTATACTGGCACCGTCCGTTCAATCGCCAACAAGGGGAATCATCTCCTAAAATGTGTTTAAAATCAAATATTATTTTCATTTTTTCTGGGGTTGAAATAAGGACAAATGAAATGCAATTTTGCATTTAAAAAATCCTAAATAAATTTTGTGCTAATATTCTTAACCATTTTGATTTTAAAAAAATCGGTTCCAATAATCGACTTCTGATGACACATGAAATATGAAGTTATCGAAACTTAATTGATCTCCCTTAAGCGCCATCTATCTATGAAAATGATCTAGATTAAATAATAATTCTTAAATAAAATGTTTCTTTCACAATGTTAAAAAGATAAAAAGTTACATTTTATCTTATGATAAAATCAACTTGCTAACAAATAAAGAGTACATGTTAAAAATAATATTATCATTGTTACTTTACCTGCCACGATGTTATTGTTACAGCATATCGTAAACAATAGAAATGCCGTGATGAAGAGGATATTCGGACTAACCATTTTGAATTTTACCTTTGATTCCTGATCATTATAACTACATTTCATGCTTTTATATTGGTATATAATCCACTAAATGTCACACAAGTTTATTCAAAGTGATGATCTTGTGGCAACTTATTCAACATGTGTTCTTCGATTTTTTTCTAGCTTTTTCATACATATTTTCGTTTCCTGGCATGTTTATCACGAACAATTTTTGGGGTTAGTGGTTTTTTTTTTTAGCTGAAAGACCAAACCTTTGTGAAAACATATAATTATACTAATTATACCTGATACGGAATCTATTATTAGAATTATTCAATTTGAATATTCATTTCAAAAAACTTTTTTCATGGCCAACGTCAAATTCGAAATAAAACATACACGTCAAACACATAATTTGTAGCATACTTTTGATGCATAAAGATTTTGATATTTTTTTTTGAAATTTGAAGTCAAACGGATAATACATATGCTTGTGTTTTTTAACAGACAAGTGAAATGTAACTCAGTTAACCCAGCATTAATGTTGTCATGCTTAAAGACATCACGATGTCAACTCAGTCATTAGCTTTTTCATCTTTTTTTTTTCCTTTTGTTGGCTTAAGTCAGAAATTTACGAATCGGGCATTGACTATTCACCAAACACCCTTGCATTCTTATGACAGAATAGAAGATATGCTGCTTCAGATAGTGAGCAAATTCAGAGTACTAGAGAGAAAATAGAAGAAGTGATTGATTCCTGTAAAGAAGGTATTTGTGCCTTTGTTGTGTTCTCTTAATTCAATAAGTTACCTGTATCCATTAAATGTGTTTTTTTAATATTAAATATGTTATTTTCATTATAAAACTTTGTTGTGTTATCTATATTTAACTGTAAAAATTAACAGACATTTGGACTGTTAGACATTGGGCCTTTCAAGTCTAAAAAAATAAAAGATCAAAAGATGATTTCATAAAAATGATTTAATACATAAAATTTGGATTAGGTGCCATTGAGAAGTAAGCATCTTCTATCGATCGGTCACAATTGTCGTGTGCTTCTTGTCATGATCCTAAAATGGAAAAATCTGCACACAGTGCAGTGTGTACACATTCATAAATGATATTCTAGTTTATTAATATTGAAACGTCATTGAATATTGTAACATGCTCTGTTAAAACTGTTGATAGAGAGTACCAGTTACTGAAAAATGTCACTAAGCAATGCAAATCCACACTTAACACTGCTGAAGATAAAACATAAGAAAGGTGTTATTTTTCGAAAATTTGGTAGAAATGTTTATTTGATAATAAATTATTTCATAAATGAGAGTTATAACTAATTTATGGTTAATTTTGTCTATATGTTGAAGATAACTATCAAAGACTTTTGTATGGATTGCAATACAATTAACTATATAGGTTTGAGGGAAGGGTGTAGGAAGGGTTATTTGTTTCTAATTGTGTCCTGGTGAAATGATGCTCTTCTGAGACTTGAATTAACGCCTCTACTGGTATAACTGAAATTTCTTAACTTTTTCTTTACAATTTTAATGTAAGAACTTTTAAACACTGATTTGCATATAAAAATTTCGAAAGGCTTATGCGAAAATAGTGTACATATAATAAATGGTGATATTTGGGAGATTGAAGCTTATATATTTTTTATTATCTGTTTTAATTCTGATTTGTACATAAATAATTGAATAATAAATAACTGAGGAATGATACAAATACACATTCTATCACGAAATTTTTTTTTTATTAGAGACTGTTTTAATTATTCAAGATGAAACAATTATTTGTTCAGAACGTTCAATTTTGAATAAATAACGAATGTATGTATTTAAAACAGGAAGTGTACAACATGAATTTCAGGTAATGGCCATTTATCACGTACACCACTACAGGCATATTCTAGATCGCAAAAAATACTGTGAATCATTGTTATTCTATGTGACAGTTGTTAAAAGAATTGCGTAATTGTCCGACGCTGAATTTTAAAAGTGCATAATGTAAGCATATAAATAAACAAACATGCACAATCATCACAGTTTTAATCATCGGGGTTAAGGTTATGTATTGCTTAAACGAAAAAATTGCAATTTTCGTTTTGGTTATTTTCTTGGTCAACAGTCATCTGGTATTAGCACATGGTAAGTAGATTCTTTTTTAATTGTAAAATAAAATTTATTTTATTTATTATGATATGGTGATCATAAATATTCATCAAAATTAATAACTCAGTTGGATTTGAGATTACAATAAAATACGTGTATAGATTACGCATACTTAAACAAATACTTAAATAATTCAACTGAACCTACATATTTCTTTTATTGGCAAATGAACACATGAGGCTGCTATGGGACTTTTGCAACAATCACCGGCTTTTACAATCGACGGTTAACTTTTACACCTGGAAAATATACGGAACCGCATATAAAGCGATATAAATACATTGTATTTAGCTATGCAGTTAATAAAAACGATAAAAAGAGCTATTTCAACGTCCAAATTTGGTGTTTAAGAAAGGAATGGCGAAACCCCTACCCTCATCACCCATCTCACCTTGACAAACTCTTTATTTAACACCTTTAGAAAAAAAAAATAATAAAAGTAGATACCGTTTTTAATGAGAAAGCTATTTTAAATTATTTTATTCTACTTTCAATCTTCTCTTGCATTTTACAGAAATTTCAACAACCTCATACATGTATGAAATCGGCATTTTATAAATTCTCTATCTTGACCTTGGTAGCAAATATACTCACAGTCAATAGAAATTCAACACCCTAACTTTTGGTTGAAAATTATATATACGGGGTGTTATTATGTACCAAAAAAGTTAGGACATCTTTTACTTTGCCAAATCAGTTATTAAACTGTTGAATGATTTTCATACAATTACCGGAAGTTGATTTTAACCCTCTTAACAGAAACCATGAATAAGCATTTTTAATAAAAGTATTGGGTTTCTAAGTTTTTTTTACCTGTAAATCATAAGTATTGTACTAAAATGTCGGAGTAATATTTCTCTTTTTTTCCGGATGTGATGCCTGTACTTCCTCAAAAATGACTGAAAGCACATATTTTTATTGTTAATGCTGGAAATTCTCAAAATAAAGTAAAAGGAGAGCTATACATGTGCAAATTTTCACTACATAACAACTTTTCGGGCTCATGTGTTTTAAAAGCATGAAGACAGTTCCTTAAACAGGGGTCTAAGGGTTATTGCATATCCTCAGCATAATCACTCTGAATACTGCAGCCCCTTAATTGCTAAGTACTGGGATTTGTATTAAATAATAACACAAGTCTGGTGGAGTTGCAGTTACAGAGTTTTGATTAAGAAATAGGGCGGGAAGGCGGGGAAATCTTTTAGGAATTACCCGTTTATTTGGAACTATTGAGGACGTATACCCGTCTCGTATTATTCGTATACTTAAGGTTCGCCCCCTCTTCTTGAATGATAATTAGTGCTGCGCTTATCACGTGATTTCGCTGAGGGTAATTGCATATCCTCAGCATAATCACTCTGAATACTGCAGCCCCTTAATTGCTAAGTACTGGGATTTGTAATAAATAATAACACAAATCTAATCACTTGCAATGAATATGTTTATTGTTCACAAGACAATAACTCACATACCTTTTCTTCCCAACACTCTTAAAAAGAAGAACACAAAATTGATCTGATTTGATAAGTAGGATCATAGAATAGGTCGTAGTTGTGAAAACTCACAGTTGTCATTAAAAGTAGTTTCCGCATTGTGGGACCTGGACGCTTCCGCTAAGGTTGAAGCCGTTTCAGTAGCATCTCTAATTCTCGTTGCCCTGCTATAGTAATCTGCTGTTTTTGAGTCAGACCATCCGATATGAGACTTTAATTGTTCACAATCAGCATCTGATAATGCTAGTGTCACTGCACATCCTGCCCGTAAACTGTGCGGAGTTTCTCCTTCATCTAAGCCCAAAATTCTAAGGTACGTTTTAAGCCTTTCATAGATGGATGAGTAAGAAAGAGGTGTATTCAGCACAACGCCATTTTCTGTGACAGTCCGGAATAAGTAACCAGTTTCCAAATCAATTCCTAAAGATTTTGATCCTGACAGGTAGCTTTCTAAACCAGCAATTGGGCACGTTAAACTATCTGAAAATCTCTTTATCACAAAATTGTTTGTCTTCCCATCACCTCCCCTTAAAGTTTTCCCGAAAGTATGCCTTACCATAAATCCCGAGTTATCGGATAAAGATTTTATATCTTGAGTCAGAAAATTCGACATATCAGAGGCTCTATCACCCGCGAAAAATTGAAGCTTGAACATCGCTTGATCTCTAAGCAGAGTAAACTTTTCTCGGAGAGTTAAGAAACAGTCAAATGAGTCTAGTCTATTCTGTATATAAGTCGCAATAGAATTTAATTTCCGGATAAACATAGGTTTTGCTTGCTTGGGTAGAACTCTGGCCTTTGCTTGCTCTTCTTTCACAATTTTCAGGTGCTGTTTTATAAGTATTGAACATGCCGCATTGCCTTCCTGAGTTGCTTCATCCCAAGATTCACTTTTACCCTCTGACGCTAGAATATTTTTCAAATTTGTAATCATGCCAGCAAGAGTATTTGATGATAAGCCTTTTTTACAGGCGCATGGCTGTTCTCCGATGTTGCCTATAAATTTGCAGTCCAATGAATGAACTTGCGTTTTACCTGATAAATCGCACCACACAAGGAAACGACGCAAATCTGTTGGAGTCAAGTTCCGAAGTTTAGGTCGATGTGGAAGTTTAGAAAGGAATAATTCTAATTTCTCACGCAGTCTTGTACATTTCTTATAAGCAGTAGACTTCATCATTTTCTCGTCCAGTTGATTTATCCTTTCATCGATGGAAGTCAAGTCGATAAGATCAATGCCTTCCGCATTCTGTAAAGAGAATTCCAAGTGTTAGTCAAATGATAAACGGTAAGCCATTAGTTTTCATTTTAATCCATTATTGTCCACAATATATCCTTTCTTACTCGGAAAACATAAAATGCCCCGTTCACCCTTTTCCCCAATAGTTAATGAAGTCACACAGTTTTGGTTCAAAAACGGTTGCCAAACGGGAATAGGGCTAAATATTGGTGCAATAAATGTACAATTCTTAACCCTTTGCTCGTGTAAGTGTTTCAAAACAGGGAATATCAATGCAAACGGGGGAAAGACATATGGATTAGGTTCCAGAGATAGATCTTGAGCAAAGACATTTACTCCCGATGTTGTCGGGGTTTTGTATTTAGAAAAGTATTTTAAGGGAACACCCTCAATAGAATGATGTACATTGGACTCGGAAGCCATCAGATCGACGGAGTGAGGACCCAAAATGCTCTCCACCTTGAGGGAAGAGGGACGGCTCAGAGTAGTTTCCATCATGTCAACATCCCTGGACGGTCGATCAGCTGGATTTAGCGCAGATGGTACATACTGCATTTGCAAATCGATATTCTTTTCAAATACTAGTTGAAATATCTGTTTCATAATTCTATTCAATTGCCTGTCTTTACCTCCTTGATTTTGCCATGCAAACTTAACCGCTTGGTTGTCAGTAAGGAGGTCCACGCGATGGTCCTGAATTTCAGCTCCAAGAGACAACAAGGCTTTCAAAACCGCTTCTGCTTCCTTAAGATGGATAGGCCTAGTGTCATCCTTATGCCAGAAATCACCAAACGAGGTTCCTTTATCTTCTCCCGACAACAGGGATACACCATAACGGAAGGAGGAAGCATCTGTAGCAAGGTGAAGTTGGTAGTGACTCTCTGGTCTCCATTTTACGTGACCCTCCCAATTATCAAGAAATCTCCAATGTTCTATTTCAGCACGAAGTTCTTGTGAAATTTGGATAGATTTACTGTTTTTTTTGGCAAAAGGAAATTGTTTTATTAATTTCGCGCGTATACAGTTTTGATGCCGGTACGGCCAAGTGCATTGAAATGCATTTTCCTGCAAATCGCTGGAGTGTGGTGAGATCAGTTATTTGTGAGTGGAGAATACTTTCTCTTAGAATTTTGAATTTCTCTTTTTTCTCCGTTGGTAAGATATATGCTTGTTTCGCCGAGTCGATAACAAACCCCAAATATTTGACGCTGGTTGACGGGGTCAGCTGGCACTTCTTTAAAGCTAAAGTATATCCGAGTCTTGTAAGGATTTGAAGAATGATGTAGACTTGTTCATGAGGCCCCCTGGTCTTGTCGCGATAAGAAGTCGAAGAAATAACAAGACGGTCGTCAATATATTGAATGTTATCAATGTTTAAATGCCTAAGATATGTTGTGATTTGCATTCCAATTGTCTGGTAAATAAACGGAGATGTCTTCCATCCAAAGGGAAGGGTCGTATATGTAAACACCCATCCTGCAAACTGTAATCCAAAATAAGTCTGAGATGTGTATGCTAGAGAAACATGATCATAGCCTGATTTTTCATCGCAACAAATCATAGTAGCATTTAAACCAACCACGCGATGAACGTCCTTAAGTGTGTCAAGCTTGAAGGGTGTATCTTTCATCCACAGATTAAGATAACGTTCGTCATGACAAAGACGAGGTTTAGTAGGTTCTACAAGGAGGGGCATAATAACCCGCGGCATTTCACATTCTCCGAGTCTCCCTAACAAGCGCAGTGAACCATTTCTTAATCTCTCAGCAATTTCCCTCTTGATAAATTCAGCGAAGTTTTTACATGCTTGGGCATTTACAAAATGGCGCTTAATTGGGAAACCTGAATCATATGCATGTCCCTTAAAATTCCCTTTGAAGTGTTGGAAAAAATCGCTGACGTCGATTTTATTTCGAATCCAATTCTCTATATGTAATTTGTCATTTGTATCATTTGCTTCTAAAATGGTCTGCCAATTATCAAGGTAATTATGTAACTGACCAGCTACAAAGTACTCGGGATCTCGTATAGGTAGTTGTGAGTGGAATTGATTGGGACATCCCCCCCTAGCTACATCCTCTGCGGATGGAAAGACTGTGTCTTGAGGCACGTTTCCCCCAGAAGTTATCCATACGGGATCATGCCGTACCTGTCTTACTATCGCTGCTGCGTCAAATTCAATATTCTGTTCCCATGCAGGCAGCTGTCCAGTTGATGTTAATTCAACCATTACATTCTGAAAGTAGGTAAGACACAAAATTCAGCATGAACCCCTAGGACAAGTTCGGAGGAAACAAGGCCCCAAGTCACAGTCCTCGTGATTTACTCACTAGAGAATTAGTATCTCCGGACTGATCATAGGAACCTTGCAGATAATGATATACATGTGTATGAAGTAACCAGTCTTTATTTTCCTTTATTTTGATTTCATCATATATGTAGTTTATTTGAAAGAAAGGCTTATACACATAAACACTATCCTAATTCAATACAAGATCAGGCGAAGTAAAACCAGTTAACTTGACAAAACTAACTAAAAAACATAAAGTTGATATTTAAAGTCACTTGCTATCAAACAATAAGCTCCCACAAACTTCTTGAAAATTGGTACTTAACATGTTTTCTGAAATAAATTGAATACGTTCCGCTAAATCCAAAGAGTAGTCGTGCAACACATATTCAATTCAACGAAAATGTACATTTTATTTCTGTTGTTTCATAGCTTTCAATTTCGCGCAGTCCTTTATCAGGTGCCCCATTCCATCACAGAACAGACACGGCCCAAGCTGTCGGGGTGAACTAATAGTAGATTGCTGTCTCCGCCCATAGGAAGGTCTATGCTGGCGCATTCCATTGTAGGCGTAGGGGTAACCATATGTTGGGTAAAAGTACGGCATCGGATTCGGCTGATACTGATATGCATTTGCTAAGGGGGACTGCCATTCCTGCTTCGTCTTATTCTGCTGGGTTTCGTCCTTTTCCTGTTCTTTCTCTTTCATGCATTTCGACAGAGCTTTAGTTATAATATCAGACGCTTTACCACCTAATACGGTCAACGCAAGTGACACTATATTAATTTTCCCTTGGTTTCTCGTCGCCTGTCTTGCCAGTTCCTCAAACGTATCAGCATCCTCGTGATTCAAGGATTTAGCTTTTGCAGCTAATTCTTCTAAAGTTAGGAGCAGAAGAGCTTCGCTTGGTTTATTCTGTGAAGCAATAAGGCGTACCTTTTGTTTTAAGCCTTGCAGGTCCTCCTCTTTGTCGTTGGCTTTCTTCTTTTTCTTTGGTTTCACCGTTTCCTCTCCTTCGTCCTCGTCTTCGCCATCTTCATCCTGAAGAAGACCCCATATGTCATAAAATCTATCTTCTACATAATATAATACAAAATATTATTCATGTTATTACTATTAATAGGTATAACTATCCAAAATAGCATTATATTTCTTATGGTTGTTCTAAGTACTGAGAATTCCATTTCTGTTTTAGAGCAATATCCCTGTCAGGTATTAAATTACCTTATTCCCTGTCAACTGTTGTCCGTCCGGGGCTCCAGTTTCGTTCGCGTGGAGGATCGTAAAATGTAGTAGAACCCTGAGATTTTCCGCTGATATCTCCTTTGCGGCCATCTCCAGGATATCGCAGGCCTTTTCGCTGGTTAGATCCTTAAACTTCTGGGCCAATTCACCCTCAGACAGTTCTTCAATAGGCATAGTAGATTTTAGTTTGGCAAAATTGAGCCGTTGGCCGGCATAATTCTTGACCTTTTTTACGACCGGTAAGATGTTCTTTCCGACCAACGTATGGCGTCGTTTCAGAATGGGTGGAGGAGGCATTTCAAGTTATTCTAAAAGTATAAATAAATCAAATATGTTTATAACCATCGCTCACCAGTACAACCATTACCTGGTAAGACTGAAGAGGGGTTTGAAAATCTATCACAATTAAATGCATACACTGACATTAATCTAATTAAGGTTTATTTATATGTGGATTATCTATTTTCCTTGTAAGTTCCTTTAAACTTTAAAAAAGTTCTCTAAAATAAGATGTAGAAAAATGCAAACAAATATATATAAACTTTTTTTTTTTCAACGCGCAGGGACAACGCTACATTAGATTATGTCTGACACCTAGGGCAGCAAAAGATAACCCAATCGAGCATCTTAATGCTTAAACCAAATGGCTCCTCAGAATATCAATTACAATTAAAGCATCGACCAGTCTTAATTAATTCCAGCTTGACCGGCCAAACTCAATTGACCTTTGCGCACACCAGAGTCAGACAGCCTAGATTATTCCAGCGTCTAATCTACAAGTCGAGAATCGAAACTTGACACCTCAAAGGAAAATCTTGTATTGTGTACAAATTCACATACTTTTTAACATCCTCCAACAAAACTGAACTAATCATCTCTCTAGAAAATAACATCATCTAACGAAACTGAACTAATCATCTCTAGCAAAATATGATAAACCAAAATGTGACGTCTTAATGTACCTATATCTTGTTCTGAGTGACAAAGTTTATGCGTACATGCAGTAAAATCGTGCTGCCGTCCACCAATTTGTCTTTCTGACACCCGGCTATATATTGACCATGTGTGCCCGCTAAGCACTATACCATTCCAAATACGAACTTATGCCATATACCACAATGTATTCCAATGTATTATGCAAAATTTATTATAGTCTTTTTTTTTTTTTTTTTTTTCTTTTTGCCACCTTGGCAATACAATAAGCCACCACGGCAAATCCCTGGGCCACCACGGCCAGAACCACCATGGTTCTAATACAAAAGAAGAAAATCATATTTACCTTCCTTGTCTCGGAAAACGCGTCTGCGTAGATTCGCCCCCTCTTCTTGAATGATAATTAGTGCTGCGCTTATCACGTGATTTCGCTGAGGGTAACTATATTACGCAAAGTTAGAAAAATTTCGACCTCAGTTTCTGAAAAAAAAACAGGCATTTAAAAATGCCCAAGAATATTTATTTCGCTCAAATAAAGACATTGATAAACTAATGCATGGTAGAAATCGGGCTGCGTATGTTGTACCTGGTAGACTAGCACGATTTAAAAGTTAAATATAATTAATAAATACCCTACTATACATTATAAGGTTATAATGTATAGATGGGTATTTTTTTTTGTGGAGCGATTGTTTTGACGATTTTTTCATATCGTACACATGATGAATAAGTGTAATATATATAATTTTTTTTTTTGAAAAATGTCCAATAAGCCCCGGGGTTGAATATCGGTTGGGGGGGGGGGGCTGTCCACAAGTACCTGTGACTGTGAGTATAGAGAGGTTTAGTTACAAGTAACGTAACAACGTGTACGCGAAACTTTGACGTACACGTTATACTTGACGTCAACGTCAATAACATGATTTAGTTATACGTAAACGTGTAGGTATGCAAATGTCGTTAGTGGGGGGTACAGTTAATTAATTGAACGGCATTGTATTTATTATTTTTAATTTAAACATATCAACTGTGAATTGGAATTTATACTTATTCTAGTCATAGATTATAAGATATAAATTATGAAAAATTAATATTATTTGTATTGTCATCTCACTGCAGTGAAGCACTTTAAATATATTTTCCTAGTATCTCTACAGGACAAGTTTATAATTCTGCATCACTTTAAAAAATCGAGGCAATCATAAAAAATATTTAATTAATAATAAAATAAAAACCACATTTTGCTCTTTGTGGAGGAGGAGGGGGGGGTCCAACAGAAAACCTTTTGAAAAGGATAAAATGTGAGGGCTCAATCATTATATAACGTCTAGAGAGGGGGCATGTAATAAAATTTAATACATCAATACATTGGTAAAACCAAAATCAGACCCCCCCCCCCATTTTCTCATTTTTTAAATACGCGTCTGCTCTAGATCTTTACAAGTGCTAGTAAAAAAGGGAAAAAAATAGTCAAATACAATCTCCACAGGCACTTGACGTTACACATATAGGCGAGAGGTTATATTGTATTTTTGTCATGTCAATAGTGCCTGTGGATCTTATATAGGACTAATAGAAAATATTTATTTAAAAAGAATAAAGAATATAAAGAGAATATAAAGAGGTTTTAACAAAAAAAAATAATATAAAGGGAAAAAATCACCGGGTTTTTCTTCAAATGAATCCTGCATACAAAACAAACTTGCTGTTTGGTATCAGAGTTTGAGTTTTAACTTTTCAATGATAAAAATACAAATACTTTGATGGAATCGTCGAATCATCATTCAGCATTTTTTTAGGTAGACAAGTGTTCTTGTTTTATTGCATAAAAATCTATCAACTGAATCAAAAAAATAAAGAATTTAATCCATAACTTTACCCGTTTACGTTGTACGTGTAGACAGTGTATTACACGTTCTAAACTTGTAGTACACGTCAGATTTGACGTCATGATGTCGAAGAACACAACAATTGATGACGTCATCCGTACAAGTTCGTCGCAAAACGTGTAACTAAACCTCTCTTATATAACCTGTCGGTGAAACGTCTTTACCTGACCCTTTTCATACTAATCGAGAGGACTTTGTATTATTCTTAATTTGGCTACAAAGTGTTTCGTCCAATTGATCTTAAAAATGGTTTCTTACTCCTCCTACCTATAAAACTGAATCTAACTGGAAATTCCAAGGTCTGTATTTTATGCCCCCTACACGAATTTGTATTATTAAACGACAATCACTGTTTGATACCCTTATCTTTTTTATTATTAGGAACTGATGTGGTAGCGAAAAGGGGTGTGCAAACCATATCCTTGCCCGATTTTAAGTTTTGGAAACTAACTTTTATAGCAAAACCTAATGCACATTACACTTAACACTCATGGAATTTAGTAAAGCACATGTACAATTACAGTATTTAAGCTCAAAAGTCCACAAAATAGGAGCAGAGCAAACAAGGACGTCCAAACCATCACATATGAGATCAAAATTAAAAATATATTATTTCCAAATGGCATGGATGAGAAATTGACTATCTGGTTGGTATTTCGTGGATTTCTTGTTTCATTTTTTTACAATATATAAAGGATCAGATGCACGTTGTATAAGTGAAGGCGGAACATGCCAAAACATAGCCAGAAATTGCTTTGGAAACTACATAAGTAATTTATGTGACGGACCACGTGAAAGGATGTGCTGTGTTGGTTCATGGGTAATATATCAGCTAGAATAATTTTCAAACGATTAAGATACTGAATATAAGAAATGAATATAATGTTCTTTAGTGTACTCAAATACTGTAGAACTAATTTTTCTTTTAATTTTATGAATTCCAGAGTTAGATATTTCAAATATTTCATTTCCAGTTCACCACTACAGCTAAAACAACGTGGAAGCCATGGTTCACTACCCATTACAAATAGATGTATTACCTTTACTGAAGATCAGAAATAAAATGCTAATGTGGTTATTTCATTGTTAAATGTTTTGAATATCGAAACATATGCAATAATAATTCAAATAAGATGAAGATGTGTATTTTATGGCTTTTTAAACAAATGGTAATACTTTGCAATATGTCGTACAACTAATAAAAATGGAAGGAATGCAATGGACGAGACAAATAAGTAGTTTTTTATTCATTGAAAAGGATTTGATAAATTGTAGAAAAATTACTGGCATAAACTTTACACATTTAATGAAAAAATCCTATTGACATTGATACGATTGATTGATTGATTGTATATTGTTTTACGCCCCCCTCAAGAGAATTTTCACTCATATGGAGACGCCACCAATTGACGGTGGAGAGTTGCAAATTTTTTCTCCTATGCTCGGTACTCAGGATCATTTAGTAAGGAGGGATCCTGCTCCTGCCAGTACCTACTGCGACATGGGGCTTCGGTTTATACGGCCTCCGAAGGACTGGTCTCCCCGTCCCATAGTGAGATTTAAACCCCTCAAGGATCAACTCCTTACTTCGCGACTCTATAGCAGACTTTTTAACCACTTTAAGGAACCATTAAGTACAGCTGACTTAAATATATATACATGTATGTAGAACATGGACAAAACTGTAAAGTTAACGAATGGGTAGAGCATGTACTTTAAATGATGAGACTTATCTTTTCCACTCCCGTCTGCCGTCACAGTGTTAAATAATATAAAAGATTTTTTTCATCCTAACTGATAATCATTTTGAGCTAGATCTGTTGGCTTCATGATCAGATAATTAATTACAGCAACTTTCTTTATAGATTGTAATAATAATGTGTAGGATTAAGACAATCGTAAATGTTTGAAAAAGTTCAAAATGTCTTTAAAAATTTTGTACAATTTACATAATTAAATTGTCATATTGATTAACGAGAATTATTATTCTTATATAAATTAATCATCAATTTAAAAGTCTTCCAAAACAAAAAAAATAATAAGATTTGTTTTGGACAACTGTGGATACTAGTATATTCATAATTATCATTATAATATCTTTACTCAGTATTTTCGTTTGTAGAAAGTTATAATTGAAGAAAAATGTTCATCCGTTTGCTGTTGGTATTTGCCTTATTCTTTCTTGCAAATGGTTGCCAGGTTTACTTCACAAGCACCTGTTCATGTCGATGTGACGATTCCCACACCATCTGTGCAAATTCCTGCAACAGCGGTCACTATGATAATGACATTTTTCGTCTCACCTGTCTGAGTAGCTGTGCTATAATGTTGACCAACTGTGTGCGCAATTGTCCATGAATTATCTAACAAAAAAATTGTATCATTTTCATTTCTTTGCAACATTAGAAAATTTTTTATTTTATTTTATACTCCTTATTGACAGCCTAATTCATTTAAAGTTTCACGGCTGGATTTTTATTAGTTCGGATTTAAGTATATTAATGTTCAATTGATTTAATGTAACTGTTTGAATTTTGTTTTACCGCTTAGTTTGTATTTCATTTCATTATAGGAAATGATAAAACATTCGAAGAAGGACCGTAAAGGACAAGATAGGCTCCCTTTTGATCCTGGTTTGGAGTGTAGTATAGAATTACATGTTTGCAATAGTAGTTCAACAAAAATCTGTTGTTACCTTTGTCACAAAATGAACATTGTTCTAAGTTATGGGATAAACAGAGGTCACAGGAAGGTCAAAAAATTATGTAAATTTTCGAATTTTTGTTCATTTTCATTAATTTCACAGCACCTTTTGTTCCAGAAATCATAGAGCATAAGCTTGCCTATCGGCCAAAGTTGTAAATTTCATATGCTAGTATCAGAGTATCAGACACATATTATGTAAAAAATCAGATAGGCAAGTTTCTTTATATTTCCTGAAGTGAAAAGTACATTTAAAAGTCTTCAAAAGTTTTTTTTTTCAAGTATTTAACGTCATATTAGGCAGTAAATAAAAGGGGAGTTTATTTTAAGCATTTCACGTCATATTGGGCATTAAAGAGGGAAGTTGAATAAGCACCTAACTGTATTAGAAGTGGAATGTCTTCAACTTTTCTATCGTCAACATTCCTTATATTTATAAGTACTACCGTACGTATACTATCCCCCAACATAGGTGTTTATGTCGGTCAAAATGTTTTTTAAATAATGTTCTAAATATGGTAATTTTCTTTGTAACCAATGCAGATTACTGACAAATAAGTTGAAATTATAGAATTTCGAACGATGTCGTTCAAAATAAGAGTTTCAAAAATTTTAAGTTAAAGTATAATGACCTTGCTTGCAAGTGAAACTGCACAACGGGAGAGTATGTAAAAGACAAGTAATACCATGAACATATTTCCAGTACCTCAAAGTTAATTATATGGATGTAACGAACACTACTAGTATTCAATATCAAAAGTCCTGAAACGATACAAAATAGGGGCAGAGCAAACAAAGACCTCCAAAACATTGGAGTTGGATACAGTTGCCATGGAGGAGTGAGAAGTTCCTGCCTAACGGTCACACCAGCCATATGCCCCTTGTCAATATGGACTACAATTAGCATGAAAAAGACAGTCAGCATTTGTCTCAATGATAAATTGTTTTTGCTGACAAGGTCATTGTATCGACCATTGAACTTATAAAATGATGACTTTGAAGGCTACATCTGAAAATCCTGTTACATAAACTTGTTTGTCAATATCATAATAATTTACCTCGTTTTAAAAATTGTTAATACGTAGAGCATGCTCTTGCGTACCAAATCATCTTAGATATGTAAACTCCGTATGCAGGTGATGAAGTTGGTGTATATTGCTGCATAAGTAAGGGAAGTTGAAAACTGAATAGTTAAAGGCATCACGTTTATCATAGACCTTGGTTGTCAGATTACCATTTACGTCTTTTTCAAGTAAAATATCCAAGTATGAAACAGATGTACATGTGTCAGAATCTGTGGTATCTTTTATCTGAAGCTCACCAATTTATATATCGTCTAGACGTAGGAATAGAAATTACCTTTGTTGATTTACAATACGTCTATCGTTGATATTTCTCAATGTTGAGTTGAAGGCCACACAAGTGTTTTCTTCTTTTCACGCAAAAAATTTTGCACAAACTCTGCTTCATATGAATACAAATATAGTTGTGCTAATAGCGGGGCGCAATTGGTACCCATGAGAATTACAATAGATTGTTTGAAGACCTGGTCTCCAAAAACCACATAGATATTGTCTATCAGAAACTGAAGAATCTTTTTAATATCAACTTCAGAGTACTTGGGTGTACAATCAAAATTTTCCAAATTACCTATATATGCAAAGGTAAGTAAATTTAGGTATTCCAATTTTATTGAAACTACAACTGGCAATGATATCAAAAAGCCTGGGGCCCGTTTTACAAAAGAACTTACGACTAAGACGAAAAACTTCAGATTATTCTTAAATTTACCAAAATTAATTCTCTTTGAAATTGTTTGTACAATAATATCTTACCTAATTCCTTTTAAAAAGTTTAAAATATATCATATAATGTTAATAAAAATGTTATATGAAGAATTGAATTTGTTCTTAAGTCATAAGTCCTTTTGTAAAACTGGCCCCTAGTCTTTAATCTATCGTGGGGAATAGTTGTGCATAAAGTTGAAAAGTTGTAAGTTGATTTTGGTGATTTCAAACAGTCCAAGAGTTTTTTTTTAAGTATTTTTTTTTATTTTTAAGTATCTACATCTGATTTACACCACTTCTTCAATATTTGTTGCACAGTACTCTTGAAGTTTCTCCTTCTCCTACTGTTTATATTTAAGTGAGGAGTATATAACGAAAGATGCTTGGTTAAACATTTACTAGAACTCGCTATATGAGTCTTTGTTTACAAGGATTCTTATGAAGTTTTGGAATCCAGTATTAGGTCAATTTCATTTTGGTTCTTTGGAATGTTAAAATTATTTAAAACTGACATATGATTTTGATCAATTCCCTCCTTAGAAAGGGAACTATGAGTATAGGTACAGATGTAATTGATTACCACCTGCAGAATTAAATCCAAATTCTTCTAAAATACAATAATTATTTATATAATGAATCTTACAAACAAAGGCAATATTGTTGCTTTGAAGAAGGAAATTAAATGACATTTTCTATTTACTTCCTAAACATATGTACCCTTTCGATTTACGTTCGTTATCTTCATTTTGCAGGTCTTTTTCAGTATATTTTTATGTTACCATCAATCCCTGATATGTATTTTTCCATCTATTGGTAGAAAAGTTATCCCAGTTGTAAAATTTAAAATTAGTTTTATATTTATTAAATAAATAAGACGTATACTTTTAAACTGTTAATCAAATTGAGTCTGGCCATCTGAAAGTTTCAGATACTTAAGAATTAATATTGTAACAAAATTTTATTTCAGAAATTTTTAGAACGTTTTTTTAATTAGCACCAGAATACAAAGGTATGTTTTAAGTCCTTATTATTGGATATATATGATTTTTGTATATTTTCACATAATCTGTGGTCAGTGTTATGATTAAATACAGCGTTATTTGGGGGTATAAACTTATTTCTTTGAACATGTTGTCTGCGCCTAGGAAGTTAACAGATAAACGAAAAATAATTATGATGAGATATGGTTCATCGTCCAAAATATAAAAATTTTGGTCCCTAGCAATCTAATTAAAATTAGACCTGTCATCAAGATATTGTCCTTTATGAGTAAGGTATTTAATTGTTTTTTATTCTACATCTGGCGAGTAGAAACATTTTACAGGAATTTCAACAACTTCGTTTTAAGTCGGCATCCAGTAAATGCTCTGTGGACTATATATTACAAGTATGACCTTTTCAGCAAATGTGGCCTATCTGTAAGAGTTTTTATATGACCTTTTTCATACCAAATGATAGGACCCTGTGTTTATTCTTCATTTGAATTACAAAGTGTTTTGGCAACTTGATCAATTGATATAGATGAAGAAGACGTAAGCAAGGGTCAACAAGGGGTCCTTGCTCCTCCCATATTTGGTTAAGATTCTACATAGAAATCCTAAGATCCGTGTTTTATAGCCTCTTTAAGAATATATTATGTTAATGGATAAATTTTACATCAATCACAATTCGATACCTTCACATTTTTTGTCAATAACTGATGTGCTAGCACGAAGGGATGTGCAATCCATATTCTTGGCCGGTTTTACGTTTTAAAAACTAACTTTTATAGGAAAACTTAAGACACATTGCACTTATCACTTAAGGAATTTAGGTTAGCGCATGTACAATAACAGTATTCAAGCTCAAAATCCCATAAAAAATACAAAAAAGGAGCAGAACAAACACTGACCTCCAAAACATCACAGTTGGGATCAAATAAAAAATATATTTTTACCAAATGGCATGGATGAGAAATTGATCTGATTGATATTTCTTGAATTCCTTGTTTATTTTTTTTCAATATATACATGATCATATGCACGTTGTATAAGTGATGGCGGTACATGCCAAAACATCACTAGAAAATGCTCGGGAAACTACAAAAGTAATTTATGTGACAGTCAACGTGAAAGGATTTGCTGTATTGGTTCAATTGGGTAAATTATCTGTTAAAATGATTTTCATTTTCAAAACATTAAGATACTGAATATGCTAAGTGAATATCAGTTACTGTACATAATTACTGATATAATAATGTATTTAACGTTTATATCAAGTTGACATTAAAATATTTCAAATATTTCATCTCCAGTTCACCACTACAACTACAAGATCATCAACGCCATGTACTACTATCCCTTACAAATAAATGTATTACCCTTACTGAAAAACAGAAGAAATTTTGATGTAGCTATTGCATTGTATATTGGAATATCTTAACTAATGCAATAAAAATTGCAATGAGATGTAGAGATGCATGCAATTCTATTAAGCAAATAGTAATTTACAGGTGACTCTCGATGGATCGAACTCCGATCTCTCGAAGTGAAGTAGTTTGAAATAAGTCGTACATGTACTAAGTTATAATAAGAAACATGTTTTGAATGAAACTCGGTACAAAGATCCGAATAATTTTGGAACCGCCATATTTATTGATAATTTAAGTTTTGTTGGATGATAAGAAATTCAAAACCAAGGAAGTTCATTATTCTGGAGGCCTCTCAAAGCAGCATAAACTTGTTCTCAGCACATTTATTGAAGACAACAAAAACATCATTTAATTTGTTTTAATCTTTATTTCAAATATGCTTCTTTACTAATGTCATTTTCTTCATTCTAGACATGTGACACACAGCTAGTACGTTAAATGCAAATCTGTAGGATTAAACATGAAATTAGCGTATTTTTCATGGATATTTTTTTTCTAGATTACCTTTTCATATATATTCAGTTACCTTTTGACAAAAAACATTAAAAGTGATGCCCATCAATAATGCGCTTATAATCCGTTTTCAGTTTAGCTGACCAGTGTTTATGCACCGTTGTAAAAAAAAAATTAAAATACTTTTAAAGGACTCCTTATCTTCGCTTTTAGGTTTCTATTTTTGAATATTATTTAAAAGTTGTCATAGAAGTTTCAAAATTTTGGAGTTAGAGACATTTTTTCCATTGTTACATCAGCGTATTTGTCGGTAGCTAGCTTCTGCTTTAAAAAAAATGCATAAAGAGTATGCTCATGCATATCTTAAAAATATATCACAAAACCTAATATGCAGATGATTATGTTGTTGTATCAATAAGGAAAGTTGACAATGGAAAAAACAAGTCACTAATTTTATCACAAAAAATGACCTCTGGAATCACTTTAGATGGGATCAGCTACTATCTATGTTGCATTATCTCGTGACAGATATTTCGCAATAACAATACATTTTGGGTAATGAGTTGATAACACCTTTAGTCCAGGTAGAGATAAACAGATAATTCGAACGTAAAGGTTTGTGTCAAGAGATCATGGCGAACACTGTTCTTTTATTTCTTTTAGGATTTTTAATGGTGTCCATTGTTCAAGGTATTGGTTTTAGTAGTCCGAAATATCTGACGTTTTTCTGGCTTTTTTTTTTACGATTTTGATATTTTACATGCCAGGAAAACGTCAGAACCGGCGCCATTACGAAAACTGGGAAATCGCCGCCTCCAACCGGAGGCGGCATTCAGAGGTTGATTTTCGATACTTGTAAACCGAATTAAATGCTGAATTCACATTTTATCAATAGTACTACACCTTTAGTACTCACCAACATCGTTTTTATGTACTGTTTATGAAATAACATAATCCGATGAACACATATTATCTGACTTTTGAGATTTGTTTTCATTTCGTGCATTTTAAAATCGTGCAAGTTCTGAATCGGAATGTGGAGTGGTAATTTCTATTCATCGATATTGGTGAGGTTTAGGAGCATTGTGTCATTGATAAATTGTGATTTCGGCATCTAATTCGGTTCCCAAGTATAGAAAATCAACTTCGAGTGGAGACGGTGAAATTTCAGGTTTTCGTAATGGCGCCGGTTCTGACGTTTTCCTGGCATGTAAAATATCAAAATCGTAAAAAAGCCAGAAAAACGTCAGATTTTTCGGACTCTGGTTTTAGCAACTTGTACTATATGCTTTTTAATACTATAAAATGAATATGAAAGTTTTTCTATTACTAATTCATTTTAATAATATATTTGAATGGGCAATACCTATTTTTCGTCAAAACATATTTTTTTTATCTTAAACTGATCAATAAATAAAATGCATAACTATCAAATGAACAATGGTTTGTGATGATGCATCGGCATGAGAGCTGATAATGAGAGGTCTAAATAGAGACTGAATAAAACAATGAAAAAAATTGTATAAAATTTCAATGGATACTTTTTTTTGTCCATTGTTGTGCTTTTTTTATTTTTATAATTTAATTAGGAAAAGCATTGTTTATTATCACGATGTAAGTAGCAGACATGCAAATTGCATTATCTTATTTTTAACAGATCATTTTTTTCCGTAGCGTTTTGTGGTTTTGGAAAATGGCTTTCTTTAACACTCATTTCCAAATAATTTGGAACAAAAGATATACTGTAGCTATTTTTTAAAGTGATTCTTTCAAGATTACACTCAATGTTTGATATATTTATTACTGACAAAATACCATAATTTGATCTAAGCATATCTATTTGCTAAGATCAAGCATATTTTCTCTACAGTCTTCTTTCACACATGTATTAACCCGATTCCTTTTGATCATTTACAAAGATGTATCGTTATTAAACATAGAAATTTTTATTATTAATATTAATGAGAATGAGAATTCAAATATTAGGCATACATGCACAACTTGACAATTTTATTATTTATTCATTGTTTAATCTATTTGGATTGATCATTTATGTTGTTAATTTGACTGAACCAGATGAATTTATTTTTTCGGAAGGCGTTTTTCCCTTTTTTTTTTTTTTTTTGGTTCTTGTATTTTCTGGAGAGATTCAAACTTGTTCAAATTAAAACATTATTCTTTTCGTTTCCATTGCTATAAGTTAAAATCTGCTTATATATCATCAAGTGATTCGACTATATCAGTCTCACTTTATTGTGTTTATTTTGTATAAATGTTACATGAAACGTCAACTTTAGCAGAGTCTCTATACCGGTATCTAGAGGAATGTTATGTTAAATTATGTTTCAGAAATTCAACTAAAATTTAACTTTTTATGAACGCGGAAAAAAGATTTCTAGCAGAATTCAACACGTCAAAGCTTTTGGTAAAATAAAAGGTCTTGACAATTTGTAGGTGACTTTACATGCACCTCTGATAGCGACTGTCTTTTGACTGGTTATCATTGCTGCACGGGATCTATTTACTGTTGTCCGGACGGGTACGTCTGCACCGGGGGCGCCACCTGCATAAGTATTGGGTAAGTGCGTGACCTCTTGTGACCAAATTTGTTTATCTGTTTCGCACAATCGAAATAGGGCATTGTTATTTGATTTAATGAAAACTTGCTGTGACTGATCATCCGCAGCACTTGAATTTACATAGTTGAATTGAAAGATAAATGTAGTACTTGGAGATGCCTCAGATGTCTGTGTAAATCAGAGATTAGAGAATTCAAATTGTCTTTAACGTACAATTAGATAAAGTTAAGACTTTATTTTAAACATTTATCATAAAGAAAAAGAGTGTTAAAAATTAAAAGCGGACAATCTTATAAATCCGATAGCTAGAATGAAGAGTGGACAACCTTACTAATCTGATAGCCCGATAAAGTAACATATAAAGAATATTAACAATATTTGCATAAAATATTTGCATGATTTTTAGTTCTTAATATGAAATTGGTGATTGTAACCTATAAAAAAAATCATAAATCTTTCATTTTATAAACATTTTCCCAAACTCAGTCTATACAATATCATTATATTTCTGATAGGGTTATTGTGGGCCCTATCGTTGGAGGTGTTGTCCTGATCGTCAGCTGTATTGTCGGTTGTATATGCTACAGTAAGTACATCAGTCCTAGCGCTGTACATTGTTAAATAGTTATCATCGGATTAATATAAAAACACTTGTAATTTTTTGCTCGTGATTCATATCGATGACAACATCTTGTTTACAGATCGAAGAAGACGACTGCCTCCTCCAACAGTTTATGCACAACAAGCACCTACAACTGTGGCGTACGGACAACAAGCTTACGGACAACCTCAAGCTTATGGCCAACAAAATTACAAATAATTTTGAAACATATAAGTCAACTGGTGTATAATCATGTATAATTGAGCAATTCACATTCTATTCTTTTATCACAAGGTACTAAGAAGTTTACCGATGTAATCATATATTCATTGAAATATTTCATGGAGACGCTAATCCTTTGAACCATGCTACAGTTATATATGTGAGTTAGTACATGTAGCATGAGTTGGTAGTAGTCTAGTAACTGAACGATAGATTGTTTGCTTTTTATGTTGTAGTTTTCGACAGGATGATTTTATTGAAAGAAAAGTTTTTTGTACGTATTCATGAATAAAAATAATAAAATTTATTATACCTCATTATGAATATTCTACACAACGCTTTATCTGATTGGTTCTAGGTTATCACGTGATCGGGCCGTAAAACTTCATATTTCCCGTCGTCGGCACGCTTTTCGTCATATTCCACCTCTTCGGAACACCTAGTGAATTTTCCCGCAATATAGTTCTCGTTCGTTGAACGAAAACTCCCGAGAGTAGTAGACGTCACAATAGCCTGGTTTACGTCACAAAACTGATGACAATGTGTTGACCAAAGGGTTTTATAGTTTTAACTTTACGTTAACAATAGTGTGAATTAGAGAGCGGAGCCGAATTTGAAAGTTTATGTTTATTTCAAAGGTTTTGCTTGTTTCGGTATAATAAACAATTCATTGCATGAATGTTCGGGAAACATGAAGACTTATTCAGCCAAGAAATATCATATTCCCCTCGGGCGAGGCCCTCGGGGAATATGATTTTTCTTGGCTGAATAAGTCTTCATATTTCCCTCACTATCATGCAATAAATGTATAGTGTATAATTGTGATACAACACGTGCGATAAATGAATTACTGTTTTGGTGCATTTTGCATAATAAGTAGATTAGTGCTGGAAATTTTCTAAATAACTTTTTATTTGAAATGAAAGAAAATCATAAATAATAACACTGACTGACAAAATAAGATAATAGCTACGTTCAGTAATAATATCAAGGAAAATATTTTTATTATAAAAACGTGTAACTAATATTACTATCGAAAGAAAATTTGTAACGGTGACGTACATACATGTATAATGATATCATATCAGATAAACAGATTAGGAAAAAGGCTTTTATGAAAAAGATTCTGATCATAATCTTTAGAAAATCTCGTTATTCATTTTGCAGTATGAGTAAAGGGTTAATGTTCAATCGTTATTCAACCTGATATTTAAATTTCCTTTATTAAACGAAATGATTTAGCTTTAAGATATTTGTATAAGAAAGTAAAATTTTAAGAACCAAAATTTTGACAAATTCAATTGCACTACAGCTACAAAATATAAAGGCCAGAGGATCAAAACAAAGGACATATCTACCGTTTCATAATTCTCACTAAAAATTCTGCTTATACGGTACATTTGATATAACTCATACGAAAAAACATTTTACTTTCCAAAAAATAAACAGAACACACGTACAGCAGGGTAGATCTCTTCTCCGAAATAAACAACAGATACAGTTAATTACAAACTGTACATTGTAATTAATGAAAAGGACATACATTACAAAGAATGTCAATGATTCAATATATAATTCAAAGCACGAACAGGTATCAATTCACCTCCAAAATTATTACTGATAAAGTATATATTTTTCACAGCAATTCTAATTTCAATTTCTAATTTCTCAAAATATATCTTCAGGGACGCATTAAAAAAATTGCTTGTTGGCCATGGAGTTTAGTTTTTTTGAGACAAGACATTTTAGTCATGTGGTCTGAAGAGGGCAACCATTTTTAAATACTCAACATTTTAAAAATTAAATTGAGTTCAAAATTTTAAAGTTGAGAATTCGAGGAATATTGTTATTGTCAAAATAGTTAGCAATATTTTTTCATCGATACTGATATAATATCTTCAAATCAAACAATAAAAAGATAAATTTTCTCTGGAAATCTGATGTTTTTTTTATATGCCTGTTCCATGCTTTGTATTCGTAGCAGTTTTTCGTCATATAACTCGGTAAGCTTTTAAAAATTTCACTTTTTTTCAAATAGGATGCTTATTCCTCCGACAGTGTAATACCGCCGCGGCCTCTGATGGTTTTTTATTTAAATGTATTTTGAGCTTGTTCAATTACTTCCATATCTCATTTCTTAAAATGTTTACTTAACTGTTAAGGTTAGTTTTACTGCAATTATAATTTATCAAAAATGTACCAGTTCTATTACTAGCACTTATTACTTGCCATCTCAAAATTATGTTTCTGATACATCATCCTTCAAGACAAATAACGTACAACCATACATCACGGGTGCGTTGTATGTTACTATTTTCTTATTGCAATGAAAGAGGAATTGTTCCTCCTCTAATTTTTGTTAGGAGCATTCGATGACTTTTATTGATAACTTCTTATATAATAATATAATTATGGAAAAGTTATCAAATTTAACTGATGTAAAAATAAGAAAAGGTAATTATCGTAACTGCAATTGTGAAAAGGCAGTTATATTTATTGTCATCATAATAAAAATCATCAGATAAATTTTTTAGCAATCACAAGAAATTGAGAAATCATCTTGAATGGAGTATATAGATTTGGTGTATTTCGAAAAAAAAAAAAAACAGCAAATTTTCATGACTTGACATAAAATATTGCAAATATTTGGATGGCATATACAATTACGAGGGTTGATGTGAATCTTCATTATATTCTCTCCAATATATTCAAAATCAGCATCACCAAAGCCGCCATCAGATGAAGTGTCACCAAACGTTTAGCGTTTTGGTAAAATTTCTTTTTCTGTACCATATCGTCATCTAAATATTAATCAGAACATTATATGCCCACAAATATCAACAATCGTATTAAAATGTCTTTATTTGCGACGAAGCAACAATATTTACAAAATTATCTAAATATGCTCCACATTAATTTCATGTGACATTTCATAAGGTTATTATTTTTTCAAAATTAATGAATACATGTACAAGGTCTGCTTGAAATGTATACTAATTTGTAATACTTCAATACTTAAATAACAACAATAGAACATGCAGCTGTAACTCTTTGTACATGTATCTTAATATAGTAATAATAAGTAAGTATGTTGAATTTTATCATTTATTTCGTCAAGCAACTGTAAGATTGATTTTACAGTAACAATCAGATGCTTTCTTATTTGTCTTCTTCATTCCACTATTACATGTAGTTAAAATAGCTTATATTGAAAGTTCTTTTCGAACGAAAGAACGTCAATTTGATGTCTTGGGCAATTCTTTTCAAAAATAGTCAGAATGCATTTTTCTCGTTTTTAAAATAAAAATAAAATATCATTTTTAAATTTAAAAAGATTGTTTTTAAAATCATTATGTTTAATTTAGATACTAATACGAATGAATTAAACATGAATGTGTTAAAATAACTCTTTGTTTAGTTTTAGTTTTTTCCATACAAAAACCTTTAACATTTCCCCTTCTTTGAGCTATTATGTTATGTAATAACTGATCATAACTTACCTCAAATAGTACCTACAGTTTATGTGCTGTTTCTCTTCTTTATATGTATTGTTTTCTAGATGCTCAATAAAACCTGGTCATATTTTTGAGTATCAATATATCATGAAGAATGATAAGATAAATGTAGAGTGAAGTTAAAAAATTTCTAGTATGTTCAGATTAATAAATAAACCATATCTTAACGGCTCTTTGCTGAAATCATATTTAAAATGTAATAACAATTCAATTTTCTTTAAGAAACCTCTACACTGCACACCAAAAGTTCTGATTCTTGGGCATTTTTCTGCAGTTAGAGTGATCTACCCTTAGATCGTAATTCTAAAAGATAGAAAATTACAATATTTTACTAAATTTGTAATTAATTTCCAGGGGCGTAGCAACAACGGGGGCCAGGCCCACTTTTTTTCCCAACCTTACTTATACTATAGGAAATGTTAACGGAGAACCTGGTTGCCCCCCCCCCCCTCACTTTCAGTGATGTACTGAAAATGTAGTATTAGAATTGGTACTGAAAGTAGTTGACACTGCAAAAAAGTTTACCTACCTCAGTAATAGTTAGGTATTTGAAGGCCATTGTTGACATACTGAATTGTCTACGGAATATTTTGATTTTTAAAATCATAACAAGGGACACTTCGTGGGTAGCATGGGTCGACTGAGGCTATTTTCTTCTTAAGGCCACCTGATTCGGCTTCTGATGCTTTAGAGGTCCCTGTGTCCTCTGTTCCAAACCTGTATTATAGTAAACTGACTAAATTAATTTCTTAATCTCCAGATTTAATTGACTGTTTAATATATTTATTAAGACGGGTGATAATGCAGCGCACCAAATCACACTTACTAATGTGGTAATTGGGATGAATACATATATATTAAATACTGCTTATTTGTAGTGAAAAGAGTAAAAAAAAATTGCTCCAATAATTATTGCTAAACCAGCACAAATGACGGCAAACTGAAGTATAGAGATAAAGTTTATATGTGGACTCCATTTTGTATTCCTATAGATTTTTTTTAACTAAAGAATGATAAGTAAATTTCGGTGCAAAAGGAAAATTAAATGCGATATCGAATTTATGTTTTTTACGACCTTGTAAAGTCGAAATAATCATGATTTAATACCCAAATAACACGATTTAATATCTGTCATAGTCACTTATTTTGACTGACTCAAATATCTGGAAGAATATTTTTTTTTTATTTAATATTGACATCTACTTTTTAAATAAAAAGAAATAGAAATTTATTTACCATTTCATTGGTCATTTACCAAATTATTTTGTTAAAAACATTCTGATTGTGCACACAAGTACTCTAAAGTTTACATAAAAAAGATGCTGAAGTTTTTAACTGACATTATCTATGTTGTAATTTGAACACTTTCCAACAATCTTTAGGACCTATTTTTGTAATCAAAGGTAACAGAATTTGTCCAAAATCTTATGCATGAAAAGAAGAAAAATACTACTAGTATTTGTATTGTTTTGTAGACTTTTGGTCTTGAATACTGTTCGTTATCTCCATATGTTTCATCTTTAAAATTTCAAAACCATTTTATCAATATTAAATGATTATGTAACCCTTCCTTATTACAAAAATTGTAATCGATACCTCGAGATGATAAACGGCGAAGATAATATGAATTCATTAATCTGAGCAAACTAG